CTACAGATGAGGCGTTCGAGGACGATCGATGTTACTGGGTTGGAGTTCGATGTGTAGGATCGTGGATGGGCATTCCTGAGGAGTCCAGTACAGGACGGAACGGCTTCCAGGTTCTTCCACATTTTCAATGTTTGTTCGACCCTGATCGGCTCATCATTTCAATATGTAGGAATTGACGTACATCAACGATTTATTTTCTTATCCCTTGTGCATGTATTCTTAAGTTTGCCGAAACTCGAGAAATGCACAATTTCAAGAATATGCTTTACGAATGTAAAGACAGTGTTTCTTAGTACTGTACATTTCATGTCGGTGTTTCTAGTTGTCGTCGTGATATAAGCTAAACAGGAACATACTTTGCAAACACATGCCATTCAGTAATGGATCACATTCATTCCATAAATCGTATACACGATGAATGCATTCTGATGTTAATTGGTTTGGGTGAATCGGTGTTGAATGCAGCTCACCTAAGGTTTCGCGCAACTTGATAATCCTCAAAAAGGCTTACCTACAGGAGAACTAGTGAATTGAGGCAGATCCGAATTTCAACGACAATGTTCCCAGTTGAATTTGTCAACACTGATTTTTTTGGGTAGTAACTAGTTCCCCAAGTGACTGAGATAATCACACCAACACATCATTGAGTAGGTTCTAATTTCATGTTTGTTTAGTCCTGAATGCTGATTCTACTTTATAACCCGTCACATAATAAACATTTTGGCTAACAGGAACATATATCACATCTTCGACATTCCTCCGATCACATTGATGACTTTGGAATCATCTCGTAAACTTTTTTCACAACCGTAGACAAACAATCCAATCAGCTCACTTTTATGTTGACTTTATCTGCACCAACAGTAGTGTATATATATAATGATTAATAGAAACCTAAATGAAGTTATTTGGTCACATCTATGTGAGGAATTTCATACTTAATTATTATTGCCAGCCTTTGATATGTATTGAAATAACTAACCAACCCTGGAGGAATTCACTCAATTGATTTTTATAACCATATCTTACTTGGATTGCGTGAAACAAATGGGAGCAATGGGATAGTGAAACCGAGACTTAGTACCAAATACCGTCATCTGAACCGTCAGTATTTTGATAAATCTGTAGAATTACGGTCTAGTTCGACATTAGTATCAACCTTCTTCTCTAAGCCAGCATAGTCTTTACCCATGTCATCGAGATAGGCCGCAGTACCAAAAATATCTTGTAGCATAGTATCTATAACTTGTTGCAAGAAACTAGCACCCTATTGTCTGAAAGCTAGTTTTCAACTTGTACAAAAACTGGACAATATAAATGCTTCTGATAAATTCATGGTCTCATTTGACGTCTCATCGCTTTTCACAAATATACCCCCAGATGAAACGGCAGAGATCATAGGTGAATATTCTGAACTTTTACCTTTACCAATCCACGAATCTAAACAATGTGTTCTACCGTCAAATTGATGGAGTAGCCATGGATAGCCCTTTGGGTCCAATTCTTGCAGACATATTTATTGGAAACCTCAAACAAAAGAAACTTAAGCATGTCATCGATAGTATCACACTCTACTGTAGATACATGGATAACACTTTTCTTGTTTGCAACAATAACAAACACTCCATCAATCTACTCAGTTTGTTTAATAAAGCACAAAAAGATATAAAATTTACCATGGAACATGAAGTTGAAGATGAATTCCATTTCCTAGACATTGGAATTAGACGAATATCAGCGGGTACATTACAAAGATACTTTCATTGCAAAAACACCCGGAGTGGACTATATCTCAACTACTACAGTCTCTGTCCATTGAGTTACAAAAAGGGTATTGTACGAACCCTTTTTGACCGCGCACGCAAAATCTGCTCAAATGAGTGTGTTGAAAAAGAAATGGCCCTAATCACTAAGCGCCTGCGTGAAAAATCATAACAGGCGAAATTCATCCATAAATACGCAAACACCAACCATCAAGTAAAGTACGATCGAGTGGAAAAGAAAACCTGCTTCTTATACCTACGTTTCAAGGGAGATGAAATAGCTGGAATAATTAATCACAAACTTAATTCTGCGTTAAAAGCGACTTACCAAGCAGCTCAACTGACAGCGGTGTGGGAAACGAACTGCTGACTCAAACAAACTCAAATCGAGAGGTCCTCGTTTCTCAGTAGCTACAACAGCATTTACCAATTTACACGTACTTACCAAAGCACATACATTGTAAGAACCGAGAGAAGAGTACATGTTTGCATTTCTGAGCATGTTCCTTAAAAACTAAGGCTGCGAAGGACCAGGGCTCTCAACAGTGCAATAGCTTGACATTTACTCAACACCAGGAACACTATTGATATTTCTCATGCTTTCAAAATTATTAACAAACAAAGAGGTACGACTATTCTCCCGTTTTCTGAAGTGATAGCGATTAAAATAATACTCAAACCGGATCGATGTATTCAAAAAAGACAGTGATAAACTTCATATTACCCTGGTAATTCATTTTTTGTTTTAGTTTTTGGATATTAGTTTTATGAACAAAATAGCTTGATAGTACAAACAGTGTTGAAACTAAGACGATGAATATGCTACAAATTCACGAATATCTATTTAGTATCCTTTTATTATGCAAAAAAGGATGATGAATATCAAGTGTATTCACATGGATTTGTGAAATCCCATTCATTTATTGTTTCAGTAATATCTTGTTGAATTTTCAACTGTTGATATTTTTTGATTGTAGGTTGATTGAACAGTTCTTGTTTTGTATAGTTGAGATCATGAGTCAATGGAAGCTAGACTACCATAGCCGTCCAATGTTTCCAGGTATTCCATGGTGATCTAGCTCCAACTGACTCGTGATCTCAACACTATATAAAATCACTAAAAATCTTTACGAAACCCCCTTCTGATAGTTCTCATTTCGGTTTGTTGTCTTGCATTATTAAATTGTCACAGCTTTAGTGATCTTATATCTGATTCCACTTAGATCGGACAAATGATCATTATCGAATGATTACTGTCGCAATATATATAACTCGATTATTCTCTTATATAATCGTCGACTTAACTTGCGTTGGTGAAGAACGGAATTAAATAAGTCGAATGGGTATATTTCATACAATCATTGATTAGGTCGGATAGTCGGAGAGATCAAGTGAAGGAAGAGAAGAGAAAGGAGTGAAGTGAAATGACGTATGGTGGAGAAGGCATGTAAGCCAACTGAATTAAGCTAAACAAGCTCCTACACAATATCTCTGTAACTCAGTTTACGTTTCTTGTAGATAATTCGTAACTAATTATGATAGGAACCAGTTGTTCATATACCATAACTTGTTGAGTGTACACGTATAAAACACCTCATGAATCGAGGTTTTGTTGGAGTGATCCTGAAAATTATTGGCAATAGACATGACAAGCTCAGGAAACATTGAGAAGCATTTTATCCAATCAGCGTTTGACTAGAGGTTTTGCTAGAAACGTCACGAAAATGAAAAGTCACATGTAGATGTTCTGATTGGCGGATTACTACACTGCTACTATATTTAGTACTATTCTAGAATATTCAAGAAAATCCAAGGACTTCAAAAACACTATAAAAAACCCTATATTTTCTGTACATAAATGAACCTTTGGAGTAAAGTGCTTCTCGTATATTTTGCCGCATTTTTTCTCGTGTTCAAGTCGCTGTGTAGATTAAGTTATCTTGGGGATTACGAGACTAGATTAGGATCCAAATATAGCGTTCAATCAGCAAGACATATCAGGTTTGTATAAAGCACTACGTATATTTAGACTGGTAGGTCCTGGATTCGAATCTTGTGAGGCGAGGTCATGGATGTGCACTGTTGAGGAGTCCCACAACAAGACGAAACGACCATCCAGTACTTCCAGGTTTTCCTTGATGGCCTAGCTTCAATTGACTAACAGTTTCAACTATGAAAATACTAAATCTCTGCACAAAAAAACCTTCTGATACTATTTATGTTGTTATCAATCATAGTTCCTTATTACATACAAATCATTTACTCTAATTTTAAGTTTGTTTTCACCTAACTTATAAGTTTGATCTAAATTCAAGAGCAGACTGAAGACAGGTTTTTCAATCATTTCATACTTCAAATTCATCATATCAGTCAGTCAGTTACAACGTAGAACTTCGTACGTACGTACATCAGTTCGAGCTGCCATACCACCCTGGGTACAGAGATGCAGTTGTCGACTCAAATCCAATAGTGGTCGAAGTGATAACAGTATAAGCAATAATCTGAAAGATTAGGGTTTGAAGATGTTATTGAAGGAGTATAATATAGTGAAATAAATTTGGAAATAGAAAAAAGATAGAGACATAAAGAATTCAGAAGATTAGAATTTGGCAGAACACAGAGATTGGATTCACCTTCGCCATTGCAAACAATTTTGAGCCATGTCATTCAAGGTGTCTAACCATTGATTGCTATCATCTCGCGGATCCCAACCAGGTAGTTTACATATACCAACATGGATCAGTCCAATTGTCAGTGACTTCATGGATTCGTGTCACATTTTGGCCATATATAGTTTTGATAATTCAGTAAACACTGACTAATTTGTGAAATTTATTTCATTGGTAATCTGACTATTCGGATAGGCATAACATATTTCCAACTATTAGCCGTTGGATGCCGGCTGGAAACCGGCTCAGTGGTCTATTGGTTAAGTGCTCTGGCTGGAGACTGGTAAGTCCTGGGTTCGAATCTCGCGGGTGCTGGATCGTGGATACGCACTGCTGAGGAGTCTCATAATAGGACAAGTTGGCCGTCCAGTACTTCCAGGGTTTTCCATAGTGGTCTAGCTTCAATTGCCTCATGATTTCAACTATAAAAATACTAGATTCTCCACAAAACCCCCTCTGATCTATTTGAATAAGGTTTCAATCAACCAACTGACTGACATCACCGTTCACCTTCAATGATCTTCATATAGATTTCAAGAAACCCATGAAAACATTCAAAACTCACGAGTAGATGTATGATATTTATTAATGAAACTACTTAATACAAACTATAAGTAATCATAGTATCCATATGTACTACACATCAAATGATCTAGAATTCCTATCATCTCAGTTTCCTTCAAGCTGGCATTTGATCTTCTTTATATGCTGAAATAGTGAATATTTCAATAGAACCTGGACCAGATTGTTTTTTCGGTGCAAAAATACCACCATATGTTTGTATACCAAAACGAGAGAGTTGAGTTATATCTAATGGTGGTGATTCAGGTCTCAGTTCTCCACGAAAGTATGCTTTAAATGTACTGAATGGTAATTTGATTTGTTCTCGTTCTCCAGATGTCTATAAGAAATCGAGTTATTCTACACATCTGAATGTCATAGTTACCTCGAAAAATGATTCATATGATTCACAAGTGAATATTTCGGAACAGTTACCATAGAAGAACAATTTGAAATTTGTATTTTGTCCTTGTCTATGTAGATCAATGACAACCCCTGTATATTGTGACAAGTCCCATGTATCCAATATGTAGTCAACACCGGCGAAACAAGCTCCGCTTGGTTGTGGATTAAGTAGATAAAAGAAAATTGCTGATCGATAATTCTAAATAAATTATCCTCTTTCATTGGATACAAAAGGTAACTTACATATGCAATATGTGGTACGAGTATAGCCTTAGATCGTCCTTCAACTCGTACTGTATCAGATACTTCAATCCATTTACTAAGTGTATTCTGTGGATCGGTGAAATTAAACAATAATGGACTAGTTGGTTTATTTGATTGACTTATAGATGTCATTACTAGTTGTTTAATGACATCGAATGTTGTTATTCCTAAGCCAATAGTAAATGAAGCTGTTAGATTTGTGCTCATATGAGCAGCATTCGAAACACGAAGTAAAAGAATGGTAACCGTGGTTGCAAGAAGAATGTTGATATTCATGATGTTGGTGATGGTAAATTGACTAATCTTTCAATGTACTGATGATTGTCTTCTGAATGTTTATCTGAAAAGTGGAAAGAACACACTAATAATTGACTTATACTACCGTAAGACATTTTGTGGAGATTGTAATGTGGTGCGTGGTACTGATGGCGACAAATTTAAGTAGTATGTATCATTCATAGAAAGTGAAATATCTGGCAGCAGAAGGTAAAGAAGATCAATTAAAAGGGAGTGAGAATGGTGAATGATTGGTGTGGAAATGAAGGGATAGTGAAGGTTGAAACGATTGATTGTCATTTTTGAGAATGAAGTATTTACTGTGTGGTTCTCCTGAAGGCTAAAGGAGAATAGGAAGACTAAAGAACACATTACTTCGAGAAATGGAGACAGACATGAGAAGAATGAACAACAACTGGATGGAACTAGAAAGGAAGTCCTAGGACAGAGTGGGTTGGAGAATGTTGGCCGGCTGCTTATGCTCCATCGGGGGTAACTGGCGTAAGTAAAGTAAGTCTCAGATTGTACTAGAGTGTTCTGTAATTCTGTATTTTCATACATACGATTGTCCTCAGTTGTGTTCTTGTCCACTAGGAGTAAAATTTCGTAGGTTACTTCACTGACTAGTTTCTTATTAGTTTGATAAAGATACATATGTTTGGACCCTTTTCAATCTGATCAATCAACTCTTCCAAACTAATAGATACTTTATGTTTAACATCAGTTAGCATTACTAGTCATTTTCAACCATAAACTAGTAATTCGTTGAGAGCGTGTTTTTAAATACTAACAACTTGGACTTATCTTCTACATCTACATTTACCTCAAGTTTGTGCTAATGATGTCTTTCAGAAGGACGATGAAAACTAAAGATCGAACCATTCAGCTCAGAGAACAAAACTTCATCAACATCTAACGACTATTGTACACTAATAAAAGAATATTCAGAATATATATAAATCGATTACTTAGCATGTAGACGTATTCTTTCGATGTACGTACATTAATCTGTGACAATAGACTTCTTTTGGGGTAAAGGCTCCACCACCACTACCACCACCACGTTCAATCCTCTATCAGTTTATAGACACTGTGCTGCAAAAAATTCTTGGTACTTACTTAATTACTTACGCCTGTTATTTTTATTGGAGCGTAGGCCGCCGACCAACATTCTCCAACCCACTCTGTCCTGGACCTTCCTTTCTAGTTCTATCCATTTTTTGCTCATTGTTGTCATATCTGTCTCCATTTCTCGATGTAATGTGTTCTTTGGTCTTCCTCTTTTCCTTTGGCCTTCACGATTCCATGTGAGAGCTTGCCTTGTGACGCAGTTTGGTGATTTCCTCAAAGTGTGTTCTATCCACTTCCAGCGCTTCTTCTTGATTTCCTCCTCCACTGGAATCTGGTTTGTTCTCTCCCACAGTAGGTTGTTGATGATAGTGTCTGGCCATCGGATCCGAAGTATCTTGCGTAGACAATTGTTAATAAACACCTGTATCTTCTCGATGATGGCCTTCTTAGTTCTTGGTATTGAGGCTTATAAGTTGAATGAGGTAAACTGCTCAATTCAAAGTATCAAAACTATTCAATGGTTTTACGTTAGCTGGAATAGTTTCAATATCTACCGAATGTGTTGTATCCAGAGCATTCACTCAGTTTTCCGTTGATTTATAGGAAGTAATTCCATTGCAAATTTCATAATACTCTACTTCATTTACCAACAACTATCTGCTATAAGATTCTTCAACTTAACGTCATCCAATATGCTGGATGAAAAGTTGAAATACTATAGAGGATGAAGTAAAACCTTCAATAAAAAGTACACTTCAGGACCTAGAACTCATTCATCATATCAATGAAAACAACAACAAAGTACACTGGATCTTGAAAATTGCAAACAAATTAAAAATTTATCATCAGTCTGGGGTTATGAAGATTGTTAAGTTTTTGATTGAGATCATGAATCGATTGATTATAGACCACCATTAAGAACCCGGAAACACTGGATCATTGGATGCTGGCCTGCTCGGTGATCTATAGGTTAGGGTGCTAATGTTTATCTTCAACTACCATTATATGTGTTAAACAGTTTCATGTGTATTCCATAATTATACTTATTTGTTGGAATATTACATATTTTCCTATTCTACATTCGAAATAAACAAATAAATTAAGACGATGGGTACTTGACCGCATTACATCAGTAAATTCATATGCCGATTCTCAAAAGTCTTCAATCAAAAGACAGGAATACTTTGAATAGTTATACATCCTTTAGATTGTAGATGGCGTTGAGTCTCGATTGACTATGATCACCACTACAGTAAGATTACTCGCCCGAAAACGACTTGGTTCCTTTGATAGCTCGTGAATCAGAAGGCTGTAATTAGTCCAGACAAAGTATATTTATTAACAATCTCATGGTATCGAAAGAATACCGAGACGTGCCAACGAGTACAGGCAATAAGGGCAGAGCGTAAGAAAGTTCGAACAGACAAGGCGGGTGACCGAACGAAAAGTAATTTTGATACAGTTAAATAGCAACGAGTACGATAAAACAATCACTGATACAATTGGTTATAAAGATGTTGGAATTGGATCGGACATACATTAAGGAAATCACAAAACAGCATCACGAGGCAATCCCTAACTTGGAATCCGGAAGGGAAGTGGAAAAGAGGAGGGCCAAAGAACTCATTATGCCGGGAAATAGAAGGAGATATGAAAAGGATGAGCAACGACTGGAAAGAACTGGAAAGGATTGCCCAGGAGAGGATTGGTTGGAGAAGTCTGCTGTGCGACCTATGCTCCTCGACGACTCCTTTATGTCTTTTCTTGACTTTGTTCTAGAACTTCTATATATTTATAGCATGACAAACTAACGGAAATGCTTGTGAAATCTACCATAAAATATTTTCTAAAAGATTAATCTAAGTGACTTATTCAAAGATATAATTTGGGATTAATGAATACGAAAATATCATCATCGATGAATATAGAAGATCTGATGAAGACATAAAGGTGAGGATTAGCAAAGCAAAGATAGTATTCCTACAGTTGAACAAAATATGCAACTCAAAATTACTGTCAAACAATATCAATATCAGAATCTTCAATACGTATATCATGACAGTCCTACTGTATCGATCTGAAACATGGAGTACTAACACAACCATCGTCAAGAAGGTACAAGTATTTATTAACAATGGTCCACATAAGATATTCAATATCCGTGATTTGTTTAATGCATGTCCGATGCACTTTCAACGTTTTTTCCTAATTTCCTATTCAACTGTAAGTTGGTTTGTTCTCTCCCACAGAAGGTTGTTGTTGATAGTTTAGTATTTTGCGTAGACAACTGTTTATAAATACTTGTACCTTCTTGACGATGGATGTAGTAGTTCTTCACGTTTCAGCTTGATACAGTCGGATACTATTAGCAACAGCCTTCTGTGGGAGAGAACAAACCACCTTCCATCTCAAGAGGAAATTATGAAAAGACGTTGAAAGTGGATCGGACACACATTGAGAAAACCATCAAACTGTATTATTAGGTAAATGCTAACTTGGAATCCTGAAGGTAAACACTAAAGAGGAAAGTCAAAGAACACACTACGTTCGGAATTGTGTGAAGACATGAAAATGATGAATAACAAGTGGAAAGAACTTGGAAGGATTGCCCATGACACAATTAGATGAAGAATGCCGGTGAGTGACCTATGCTCCTCCACGAGGGGTAACAGGCGTAAGTAACTAAGTAAGTAATACGAAAACACTAATAGTATATTTCCTATCAATGTTACAAATAAACCAACCTTTTTAATTAAAAACCTATGCTATCCTTTATTCCAGAATAGTTACCAAGTCGAATAAATTTTCTATATTTTCAAGTTATATATATAAGGTCAAATCAATAAAGTTAACCCTAAGTACTAAATTACTTATTGATTCAGTTTAACCAATGGAAACCATTTTAAATGAAAACAGATTTTGATAAATGAGAGTTTTTTAAGTTTTCAAAATAAACAATAGAAACCATCATTTGAAATGAAAATATAAAATTCATTTGATATTATCAGAAGGGGTCTTGTGGAGACCTTAGTAATTGAATAGATGAATTCATGATTCAATTGAAGGTAGACCACTATGGAAAATCTGGAAGCTCTGCTTGACGGTCGTTTCGTCCTATTGTGGGGCTCCTCAGTGACAGTGCGCATCGACGATAGCGTCTCCGCAAGATTCCAGCCCAGGATCTACCAGTCGGCATCCAACGGTGTTAATATCCAACCCCACCCAGTCCACGAAATTGCGCGACCAACTTCCATTGTACTAAATTAGATACCTATCTCTACATGGATTAGCTCCACTGGTCACGACTTCTCACTAGACATCAACACCGTTGGATGCCAGTTGGCTCGGTGGTCTATCGACTAAGTGCTCGCACGCGAGACTGATAGGTCCTGGGTTTGAATCTCGCTCGCGAGACGGGATCGTGGATGCGCACTGCTGAGGAAACCCAAAATAGGACGAAACGGCCATCAAGCAGTGCTTCCAGGTTCTCTATGGTGGTCTAGCTTCAATTGACTCATGATCTTAATCACTTGGTATTGTTTGCTTATCTCTTCCCATAGTTGTGTAAGACTGCAATCGATCACTCTCTTGTTGGTATATGTGCATCTTATGCTGACTGTCTTGATATTGATAAGTCACAAGTTTTATAAGTAAAAATGGATAGTGGTTAGTACTCAGTAGCTAAGTGGATAACACGATAAGGTTTGAAGCGAGCGATAATGGGTTCGAGTCCCGGAGTGAACATTAAATCTGAGATGTAGGTACATTCAGCTGACGAGTCCTGTATAGAATGAGTCCTGTATGAGCATGAGTCCTGGATCCCATTGCTAGTCACTACTCATCTTTACATAAAAGGCTTATGACAAGGCAATATAGAGGCAATACGCACAGTATACGCATATACCAATATGCGACTGATCAATTGCAATCCTAAACATCAATATTATATTTGAAGAAGAATGACAAGTTTCTTTTATCAACAGATATATACTACTTATTAATAGATAATGTTGTGATCTCTCTTATTATAATCCATGCAAACTTATTGTTTAGTAGTCTTGGATACTACTTCACTCGACAAGTCCCCATATCAGAACACTGTTGAACAGTAATATAATTACATTTCAAATAACAAGATTAGATGGAAGTATGAATCATAATGAGGAAAACGTAATCACAATTGATTGATCACAGGGTGATGATCAATGTCTATCAATGACTAGGTGGCCCGAATAGCTCAGTGGTAACGCCTCTGACTGTGAAGCTGAGTGACACGGGATTGAATCCGTCAGGAAGCACCAGTTCCCTCAAGATTACAGGTACACCCTGCTGACGAGTGCCAAGTAGCACGAAACCCGGGTCCAGGGTTTCCTGCTGACCACCTCCAACCACCATCTTATCTCGAAGAAAACGTGTGTATATTTAAAATTTTTACATAAGAGGATTCAAGAGTTTTCCCCAAGTATCCGATAGTACTGATTGTTTGAGAAATAGTTAATCACCGAGCTTCAATAGAATCCTACACAAAACACGCTTTATCTAATCTATATCTCACTAACAAATAGTATACATTATTCAGGCTTTTCTATTCTTGGAGTATATATGAACGTTTACAACTAGATATAAAGAAAAATAATGAATGAACGTTATTTTATGATCATAGATCAGAGGGGGCTTTGTGGAGAATTTAGCATTTTCATAGTTGAAATCATTAGTCAATTGAAGCTAGACCATCATGGAAAACCTGGAAGCACTGCTTGACGGCCGTTTCGTCCTATTATGAAACTCCTCAGCAGTGTGCATCCACGATCCCGCCTCATGGGATTCGAACCCAGGACCTACCAGTCTCGCTCCAGAACCCTTAACCTCTAGACCACCAAGTCGGCCGGCATCCAACGGTGTTAATGTTTAACTTCATTCTAACTACATTCCTAACATTTTATGATCACTATGAAGATATCTGATTATTATATTACACCACTACTCGATTGACCCCCAAATGCCTTGATATAGTCGAGTGTGAGAAGAGTCAGTTATACCTCTCGAAATCCTCTCACATAGTCACTCGTATACAACTACTGACAGAAAAGTCCTACTCACTGACTTCTCACGGCGTTACTGTTGCTCACGAAATTGAGAGGTGGAAAAACAAATATCCGGCGTTTTAACCAAGTTAGTGGAGATGGAGGATCCACCTAGCACAGTTTGAAAACCTTCATTTCAAACCAATGATGCATATGGGCTCCAATACCTTGAGTGAAAAAAGGTGTATGAACCAATCGTTGGTCACAGATTACCATGTGACTGCATCTCCTTACGTTGTTCCACTATTTTGTGGATTAGACATTTAGATCAAAAGCTCCAAGTGTGACCCCACTAAGAAAACCACCTGCTTCAACTTGGGTACCCAGGAAGTATCATAACCAACATACAAATTAAGTGACTTGTATAGCGCATATGTATTTCGTACTCCCTTTATACCAACATTTCTATATGTTTAAATAAATAATTAACTTTTCTTCGATCTACTAACCTTGTTACTGTCTTAATGAAAGTTTTTCACTAAACAACTAATTATTAATCGTAAGATTAAAAACATAATAATCAACAATAATCACTAATTTACTGTATTATGGATTTGATTCTTTACAATCCACCGTCCCACTTTTGCTCTTCCGCCTCCCTTAACCAAAATAAGCATTACCCTCCCCCCCCCTTTATTGTATTATCATGCCATATTAGTTCATTTTACTGGTTTAGTCTTATCTGATCTGATCTGTTTGATGTCAAAAGTTTTTGATCCATAAAATTGTTTATAAAATTTATGTATGTATGAATTTAGGAATGAGACATAGAAACTTATGATAAACATTAGATCTATATGTTCATGGTATTGTATTTATGGTTAGTATATACTTCATCCGCTTAATACATATTCTAATTAATGGATAGGTTACAATTTGATTATTTTTCATAGTTGAAATCATGAGTCAATTGAAGCTAGACCACCAAGGAAAACCTGGAAGCACTACTTGACGGCCGTTTCGTCCTATTGTGGGACTCCGCAGTGACAGTGCGCGTCCACGATCCCGCCTCGCTACCGAGATTCGAATTCAGGACCTACTAGTCTCGAACCAGAGCACTTAACTGATAGACATTTTGATTAGTTGAATATTTATATGAAATTGTGATTGGAACTAGTCAATAGGAAATCCTGGAGTTAGGTTTCATGCTACTTGTCACTCGTCAGTAAGATGTACCTATAATCTTGTAAATACATCTCAGTCCTACAGGAGATTAGTTGTTGTTTAAATCATCATTCTAAAAGAATATATTAAAATGAAATGGATACTGTTTGTATTCTACCACCTTAACATCCTAACTCATTTGGTATTGTTCTACCTAAATCTTCCCAGTGATATTTAGGACGGCAATTGATCAGTCACTTATTGGTATATGTGTATTCTGTGCGAAACTGTCTCGATTTTGCCTTAATTCACGGTACTGGGTCCAATTGCTGGAGTGAACATCAATTGTGAGATTCAGGTATCTCCAGATGACGTGTCCCAAATGGGACGAAACGCATGTCCTGGATTCCACTACTAGCCACTATCCATCTTTACTTAACATCATATTGTCTAGTAATAATCGACGTGTTATTACTATCTGATACACCGAATTCAGGAGCGTAGTACAATTTAGCTTCATTTCTGTTTTTCTTATGATTCAATGACTAACATATGAGAAGGGGTTTTTTGTGGAGATTTCAGTAATTTTATATAGTTAGAATCATAGGTCAATTGAAGCTAGACAACCATGGAAAACCTGGAAGCACTGAACTGCCGTTTCGTCCTATTATGGGACTCCTCAGCAGTGCGCATCCACGATCCAGTCTCGCGAGATTCCAATCCAGGATCTATCAGTCTCATATGCGAGCGCTTAGACTCTTAAAGCACTCAGTCAACTGCCATTCAATGGTTTTACTATATCACATCAAACCTGATTGAACTGGTTGACTAATATGTGTTTGTTATGAAATAAGTTTATCTATCGATGTATATACATTTTTCATTCTTACTGACATTGTTTGCCAATTTATCCGTATTCGTATTCAGTTCTAGTAAATGTTACTGATTATGAAATCAATACATTTCTAACTATCACTTTATTCCTCTTCACCTAGGCAACCAATCAGATTTCCAATATCAAGGTCACTGATAAATGTAATCACTAAGGCCTTAAATAATTATTAACTTATAAAAGGAATGAATGAATCCATTAAATTAGAACACTGATTAAATCCAAATGAAAGTTGGTATAATTGGTTCTCGTATAATTGGTAAGTTTATAGTTAAAATCATGAGTCAATTGAAGCTAGACAACCATGGAAAATTTCGAAACATTGGACGGTCGTTTCGTCCTATTATGAGACTCCTCAGCAGTACGCATCTACGATCCTATCACGTGAGATTCCAATCCAGGATTTATCAGTCTCACATTGCGAGCGCTTAGCCTCTAGAACCATTCAACAAACTGGCATCCAACAATGTTAATGTGTAACTTCAACTAATCCACGAACTTGATCAACCATCCACCATTATCTTCAGTGACTTACTATCTCACAACAGACTTGGTTGAACTGGTTGACTTATATGTGTTTGTTATGAAATAAGTTTATCTATCGATGTATATACATTTTTCCTTATCTTACTGACACTGTTTGCCAATTTATTTGTATTCATGTTATCTAGTAAATCTAACTGGTTATTAAATCTAACTGTTAGTTTATTCCTCTTCACCTAAGCAACCAATCAGACTTCCAATGTCAAGGTCACGACAAATGTAGTCACCAAGGTTCTTAAATAGATCTTATAAATGTAATGAATCTATTAAATCAGAACATTGATTAAATCCAAATGAAAGTTGGTATCATTGGTTCTGGTATCATTGGTCTATCAACCGCATTAGCAATTCAAGAAAATTATCCAAATCTAGAACTGATTATTCAAGCTGATAAAAAAGATGTCATGGTAACTAGTTATGGTGCAGCTGGTATATTTAGACCAGATCCAAAATTATTACCAAGATCTAATGATAATGATTCATTTATTCATTGGTGTCATCTTGGACATGAACAATATTGGAAATTAGCATGTAGTTGGGATTCATCTGAAGCTGGTGTCTATTTTCATCCAACTTATCAATTATCAGAATATTATGAATTTGATATACCATTTATAAGTAAATTATGTGGGAAAACAATATTTTTAGATGAAGAAGAGGTAAATAAAACTTTACTTTTATTTATTGAGATCATGAACTGATCGATGTTAGATCATTATTGAACACCTAGAAGCATTGAATGGCTGTTTTGTTCTATTGTGGGACGCCTTGACAGCGTTCATTTATGACCCCGCTCACAGGATTCGAACCCAAGGCCTTCGGTCTCGTGCGAGAATGCTTAACCTCGAGACTACTGAGCCGGAATTCAACGATGTTAGGTTTCGAATCCTTCGGATGGGATCATGGATGCGCACTGTTGAGAACAATAGGATGAAACCAATGTTCAGTGCTTCCAAGCTTCCAATAATGGTCGAACACCAATTGAACCGATCGATGTTAGATCACTATTGAAAACTAAGAAGCATTCAACAATCGTTTTGTTCTATTGTAGGACTCCTCGGCAGTGTGCATCCACGATCCTGCCTGCGGGATTCGAACCTAGGGCTTTCAGTCTCGCGAGAGCCCGAATCCAATAGTGTTAAGAAATGAAGGTCCTGGTTTCGAATCCTGTGAGCGGGATCATGGATGCGCACTGTTAAGAAGTCCCAACAATAAGATGAAAGCAACGTTCAGTGCTTCCAAGCTTTCAATAATGGTCGAACATTAACTGATCCATGATCTCAATCAAACACAATCATAATCTCTACAACCCTATACTGAAAACTTTTGTCCTTATTTTATTGCATAACTTTATAGATTCATTCTATTGGATTTGCTGAACATATTAAATCAGCTTATTATTATACAACATGTATTATAGAACCACGTTATTATATGAATTATTTATTAAAGAAACTTACAAAATTGATTCCAAATGATCATTCCATTTATAGTGAAAGAGTGACTAGATTTACTTCATCTAATGAATTATATAATTGGGCAAAAGAACAAAAAATCAATGTTATTGTTAATTGTACTGGTTTAGGATCAGGTTATTTATTTAATGATCCAGAAGTAAGACCAGTTAAAGGTCAATTAGTACGTGTTCAAGCACCATGGATGAAATTTGGATTTTATTTTGGGGTAAGTAAATGTAACTATATATATATATATATATATTCTGTGTTCTATGTTTGTGGTGGGAGGTCTATACTCCTCTACGAGGGGTGACATGCGTAAGCAAGTAGGTAAGTAAGTTTTATCTTTGATGTGTTCATGAGTCTACACTACAATTAGGTCGTAAACTTGTATGGAATCGCTATCTAATGTTTCATAGTTCTGAGTGGTATTTCAAGTTAGGTCAATCTCTGAAGAATACTATCTAAAAAAATTAAATCAATCTCCAGAATCCTTCCCCCCTTCTCCATATATATACATATAAATTGTCAGTATTGTTGAGAAGACTTACTTACTAACTTAATTACGCCTGTTACCCCTCGTCGAGGAGCATAGGCCACACACCAGCATTCTCCATCCAACTCTGTCCTGGGCAATCCTTTCCAGTTGTTATTTTTCCTTTTCATATCTGCTTCTATTTCCCGACTTGACGAGTTCTTTGACCTTCCACTTTTCCGCTTCCCTTCCGGATTCCAAGTTAGGGATTGCCTTGTAATACACATTGGTGATTTCCTTAATGTATGTCCGGTGCACTTTCAACTTCTTTTTCTAATTTCCTCTTCATCCGGAACTAGTTTGTCCTCTCCCATAAAACGCTAGTGCTGATAGTATCCGGCCAGTGAATGTCGAGTATTTTGCGTAAACAACTGTTTATAAATACTTATGCCTTCTTGACGATGGATGTAATAGTACTCGAAGTTTCAGCTCCATACAGTAGAATTGTCTTGACGTTCGAATTGAAGATTCTCACTTTGAAATTAGTTGACAGTTGTTTTGAGTTTCATATGTTCTTCAGCTGTAGAAATGCTGGCCTTGCTTTGCCAATCCTCGCCTTTACATCTGCATCAGGTCCTCCTTGTTTATCAACGATGCTTCCCAGGTACGTGAATGTTTGCACCTCTTCCAGAGTTTCGTCATCAAGTGTGATTTGGTTGGTGTTTTCCGTGTTGTATTTGAGAATATTGCTTTTTCCTTTGTGTATGTTCAGCCCTATTGATGCAGAGGCTTCTGCTACATTTGTTGTCTTCATCTGAATTTGTTCGTGTGTATGAGATTGGAAGGCTAGGTCATCTGTGAAGTCCAAATCATCTAGTTGTTGAGAAGAACCATACAATAAATACTCCATTTACAAAGTGTCAATCAATCGTCTCAAACTTCATTGTTCTTTCGTTTCCATGCCAGTCACTCTCTGTTCTGGTTCTCTTTAAGTCGATCTTCTTAATCTTTTACCGCCGGATATTTCACTTTTGATTGATGATATATACTACTTATATCCGTCGACATCAGTAGCAAATACCACAACATGAGAACAATTAATTAATTAATACACAACAATTGATTTTCTTTTTTATGTAGAAGCTTATTCTCAATGTATAGTGTAACTATTGTAAGTTCTCGTTTGTTCAAGTTTTATAAGCTATTTGTACACAAGATTACAGCACATTTTAGATGTATATGATGACGGCGGTTGCATTGACTTCTTTAAATGATTTATTCTAAATAATTGAATTCATGAGTCAATTGAAGCTAGATCACCATGGAAAACCTGAAATTATCTGACGGCCGTTTCGTCCCAATGTGGGTCTCCTCAGCAGTGCACATCCACGATCCCGCACCCGCGAGATTCAAATCCAGGAACTATCAGTCTTGCGCCAGAGCACTTAACCGATAGACCATCGAGCCAACTGGCACCCAACGGTGTTAATGTCTAACTCCAACCAATCCACGATTTTTGAGCAACCGTTCACCAATTGTCTTCAGTGAGTTGATATCTCTACAACAGATTTGGTTGAACTCCACTGGTCATTGCTTCCCATTAGAACTCAAGGAAACATTCCTTACAGTCAGTCACTGGTGAGCATATGATTATAGATCAGAAGGGGTTTTTGTGGATGTTTCAGTATTTTCATTAAACAATAATTTGTTCATTTTAACAAATCCCAATTAAATTTAACCTTCTATCTCTTGTCCATATCAAGTCTAAAACATTTACATTAACCCGTTATAACTAATCATATTTAAACAGTTGATTTAAATTATTCTCTCTTCTTAGCGTGATGATACATATTGTTATACAGGCAAGGAAAGTGTAATACTTGGAGGATTCCGTGAATATTTACCATCGGTTTTTAGCAGACCACCAACAGATGATGATATAATTGTATCATCTGAATCTACAAATAATATTCTTCAAAGAATTGATAATACATGGCATGGAGGATTAGGTCAATCATCAATAGTTGAAGAATGGACAGGATTACGACCATTTAGACCATCTATAAGATTAGAAGTAAGTTTTAAAGTCAATTAGTATTGTTTGTTTGAATCCTCCCATCGATGTGTTAGGACTGTAACGGGTCAGTCTCTAATTGGCATATATGCATACTGTGTGTATTGCCTCGATATAGCCTTAATTCACAAGCATGGTAAGCAGAGATGGATAGTGGCTAGCAGTGGAATCCAGGACAAAGCGCGTTTCGTTCTATTTGGGACTCGTCAGTTGAATGTACCTGCATCTCAGAGTTGATGTTCACTCTAGGACTTGAACCCAGTACCTTTGGCTTCAAACGCCATCGCGTTATCCACTCAGCTACTGAGTCCTGATAACCACTTGCTTGTGCAATGGGGTGAAGTTTCAATTCACTTAGTATTGTTTGTTGCAGTCCTAAACATCAATGAGAAGATTCAAACAAGCAATACTACGTGAATTTAAACTCAAATAACCGTTCTAAGATCCGAGATTATATGGATGAAAACGATTTAAATGGTTAATACATACTGTCTTTATAGTTCATTGAACAAACTAGACAGTTTCTAAGAGCATCGTAAAATGATACGGTGAACCGGTTCACACACAGTTATGTAATATACCCTTGTGGGTCAAAGTAATTTTGCACTTGTTTTCAGGAGAACCAAACACCATCCAGACTTTCACGTGACAACCCAAACAGTACAGTTCAATCCTGTCCCACAGGAGAACCAGACACTGTATATGCTTCATCGCTACAATCTGAATGGTACAGCTCAATCCTGTGGCGCAATCACACAGGGACCAAGCACTCTGATTAATCATTCGCACCATTCACATGCGCATTCACATCACATGTATAATTGTTTCGATCATTGATCGCGTAAATGAATTATGCACAGCATGAACAGGTCGAAGTTGACCCATTCCACTTACACGACAGTTAAACTCATTAATGCTAGCAATGGCGATATGCCTTACAATGCTCCAATGACAATAGCCCTTGAGAACACTGAAAGCAACCACCAGTATGAATGAAATTGGTGAACCGGCAAACGAACTTTTCACATGAACAGCCAGCAAAACTTGCCAAATTAATACCAAACCATCCACAATGTCAATGACGAACCTTCAGTCTCACATAAGACCTTCAGCTCTACATGACCATACAATCAACCGGTACAGTTCATTATTTCTAAAAGCATAACACTCCATTTCACCCCATAGGGTACTTTTGTTTAATAACGTATTTTTTCCATCTTCCTTTCTTTTCGAATATCAAATAATCACTACAAGATTGATTGGTATCAACCTGAAATTACTTGTCAACCTTTACCAATTATACATAATTATGGACATGGTTCAATGGGTGTTGCATTAAGTTGGGGTACTGCAATAGATGCTGTGAAACTTTTTGAAGATGTATTAAAATCGAGTGGAACTATTCATTCATGACTTATTCAACTTATTGTATTACCTAATTGTATTTCTATTTAATTCTATTTATTATTGTAAACCAATTATATTATATGGTAAAATACAAGTCGTATCAACTCCTTAGATACATAATACTGCTAAATTCAAAACAAATAAAAAACGCGGAATATTCAAAAAACCGGGAGTTAGAACAGCATATTTTGTCATGAACTGAAGTAAACTGGGAACAACTAAACAATCAGGGACGATTTGATTTTACTTCCATTTTAGTTTGTCACTCCCTAGGATTAGATAGATTAATAATGTAGGTGATCTATGTGAATGACTGTTATCCAACCGTGTTGGACGGGGATGATGCTACTTATGTCTTCAGATATAAGTATTATGTAACAATAATAGAAAGTGGAAACACTGGTAGAAGGAGGTTATGAAGGTCGAATAGAAGAGAAAGGGAACAGAGAGTGATTGGTATGGATAGAAAGGAACAATAAAGTCTGATACAGTTGGTGGATATTTTGCAAATGAAGTAATTATTTTATGGTTCTCAGATTTTATCATAAGAGTCTGTAATTTGATATTCAACAATATTTGGTTTTCCCAACTTGTGTTCTTGACTACTATAGTAGGGCTTCCCAACTCATGTTCTAATTGCGTCTCGCGGTTGACATCTAGCGTGAACTACTTTTACGTGGTGTCCATGTACTGTACTTACTTTGGTGATTTCATAAAACAAACATGGAATTGGTGAGACTAAATATATGTACAGAGCAATACCCCATCCAGCTGATCAATCTTCACCAGCAATCCTTGGCCTTTACAGCTTGATAGACTGGTTACAGGTCGGCAACCTGTTGTTTAAAGTATAAAACGTTCAGCCTGATGCTTGACTTGTTTAGGGTTCGGTAAATTTTCACTAGTCACATGTGTGTCAACATTCTGTGCTACACTGAATGAACCTGATTAACTTAAGATCGAAAAGTAAGCATGAGAATTCATACCATAACAGAAGCTATTTCAAAACTGTTTGAAGATAAAACTGTGAACTGTTTGATGAGGACTCAATGGCTTAAAAAAAATAGTCATAGAACAGAGAAACGAATCCACGACATTGAATATTATACGTGTTTATGGGTCTGAACGTTATCGGAGCACCATACTGAGATAAAGCTGTCATCCAAAGCATCTGAGCTATCAGCCGTTTGATAACTTATTTTAGTTTCTCATTGGAAACTATCCCAAAACCTGACCAATATTTTAAAAATCACTAAACTGTTAATTCTTTGACTGGGCAGTACGTTTAGGTTGACATAAATGTCAGTTTATAACGTTTCCACATAATATATAACTACTTTGTTATTAAGAGTTATAAAAAATACAGCAATATTGGGACAAATTTGGAAACCAATTTGATATAAAAACCTCCCATCACAAAAGCCGACCTGGTGATACCGTCGATCGTTGTTGATCTGTGCTAAAACCTGCTCAATTATTTGCCTACTTATGTCGTGCAGTGTAGCACTGTGTACACTTCAGTCATTTATGTTGCCGCAATGACCAGAGTGGAGCGTTAGTTACTTACTTACGCCTGTTACTCCCAATAAATCATAGGCAGTTGACCAGCATTCCCCAATCTGTACTGAGCCTTCCTTTCTAGTTCTATTCGGTTCTTGTTCATTCTTCTCATATCTGTCTCTATTACTGGGAGTAATGTGTTCTTTGGTCTTCCTCTTCTCCCTTGACCTTCAGGATTCCATATGAGGGCTTGTCTTGTAACGCAGTTGGGTGATTTCTTTTATCCGTGTCTTATCTACCTCCAGCGCTTCTTCCTGGTTTCTTCCTCCACTGGAATCTGGTTTGTTCTCTCCCACAGTAACTTGTTGCTGATAGTGTCTGGCAATCGGATCCGAAGTATTTTGCGTAGATAACTGTTAATAAACACCTGTGTCTTCTGGATGATGGCTTTCTTAGTTCTCTAGGTATCCGTCCCATATAGTATAACTGTCTTAACATTTGTATTGAAAATTCTGATGTTGGTGTTGGATGACAATAGAGTGATGGATTCCATTCAATTGATCGTTCCACAATGATCCGTAGAGTTGCGATTTGGTCTGCACACGACCTATCCTTACGGAATCCAGCTTGTTGGTCTGGAAGTTGGGCGTCCTCGGAATCCTTCATCCTGTTTAACAATACTCTGTTGAAGACTTTTGCTAGTATTGAGAGAAGAGTGATGCCCTTGTAGTTATCGCACTTGCTGAGATCGCTTTTCTTTGGTATCTTGATTAGAAGCCCTTTTCCAGTCTATTGATACTTGTTCTTCGTCCCAAATCTTACTGAAGAGGATGTGAAGTATCTTTACAGTTGCTGATACATTTGCTTTAAGTGCCTCTGCCGGGATGTTGTCTGGTCCCGCCGCTTTGCCAATCTTGATTTGTCTAGTGGCCGTGCTGATCTCTTCAATTGCTGGTGGGCCAACATCGATTGGGAGGTCTGTGGGTGCTGCTTTGATGTTGGGTGAGTTCAGTGGAGCTGGTCGATTCAAGAGTTCTTTAAAGTGTTCTACCCACCTGTTTCGTCGTTCTTCAATGTTGCTGATAACCTTGCCTTCCTTGCTTTTCACTGGTCTTTCTGGTTTACGGTAATTTCCAGCAAGTATCTTTGTTGTATCATACAATTGTCTCATGTTTCCCTCTCTTGCAGCCTTTTCTGCTGTCATTGCTAAATCTTCCAAGTATTTACGTCTGTCGGTTCTGATGCTAATCCTTCACTTGCTTGTTTGCCTCTATGTATTCGGCTTGTGCCTTGGCTTTTTCTGCTCTCGTCCGGCTGGTATTGATTGCTGCCTTCTTGTCCCTCCTTTCTTCAATCTTATTCAGTGTACCAACAATGATCCATTCCTTGTGGTGGTGCTTCTTGTGGCCCAGCACCTCCTGACATGTTGAAATGATCGCCTCTTTTGATCTCTTTCCACTTGCTCTTCATAGTAGTTCCCTCTCCATTGAGTAGATCAAGAAAGGCATGGAACGTATTCTTGAGGGTTATCTTGAATTTATTGAGTTTATCAGTATCCCGAAGAAATGCCATATTAAAATTTTGTGATATTGTCTGCCCCGTTATCTAGTGCTTCTCAAGTTTTCATTTCATCTTGGCGACTAGCAAATGATGATCTGATGCTATATTAGCTCCTCTCCTTGTTCTCACATCATCCATCGTCCTCCTGAACTTTTTGATGATAGTCCATTCGGTTCTGCTTAGTGTGATCCAGTGAAGTCCATGTAGTTTTATGAATGCCTTTATGTGAGAATACTTTGCCGCCTATGACCAGTTTATTGAAGGCACATAGGTTTGCGAATATCGCACTATTTTCGTTACCTTCTCTCAGTCCATGTCGTCCCGTGACGTCTTCATATCCGGAGTTTTCTCTTCCAACCTTGGCATTGAAATCCCTCATCAGAATTGTCAAGTCGCTTGTTGAGTACTCCTCGACGATTGACTGTAGCCTATAGTAGAATTGATCTTTAATGTCTTCACTGTAGTCGTTGGTAGACCCACGACATTGAATGACTTTCATCGTAATGTCCTCTTTCTTTGTTCTGAAGGAGGCTTCGAGAATCCTAGGCTCATGAGATTCCCATCCTATAAGTGCAGCCGGTGCTTGTTTGAACAGCATCAACTCCTTGTGTATGTGGGGAATTTTATTCCTCATGGCTCGAGTAAAACAGAAGCTCACCTGAAGATAGTCGTTGTTGTCCAACTTGCGTCCAATGTGCTTCACTGACCCCATGCACTTCCAGGTTGTATTTCCTCATTTCTGCAGCAATTTGGAAGACTCTTCCGGTCTCCCACATTGTCCGGACATTCCATGTACCTATAAAAATTGTTGCTCTGGTTGTTAGAACGTGCATCGGTTTGAATTACTTTTCCTGGTTAGCCTTTTTTGGTTAGTTGGTGTTCTACAAAATGTGGTTGCTAACCCCTTGCCCAACACTCCTCATTTATCCGGGCTTAGGACCGGCAGTATCTCCCGGAGGAGCTACAGGCGGAGTTGGAGTGGTAGTTACAATTAAGTATTATGAGAAACTATTCAACCACACTGTTCATCAGAACTTTCTTGACGCTTTTAGATTTAGCCTGTGATTCCTATTATCGAGCTACGCATTCGTTGTTTTGATCTTGGATCGAGTCGATCAAGGATCCTGGTTGCACCTCTTAGTCACGTTCTCTGTTCAGATGGAGGAAGTTTCAGTCCATTCAACGATTAGTCAGATTGTACTTCGGCATCCCTGGTTCTGACGAAGGTAGTAAATTAATATTTGAAGTTATATTTATGTTAATGACATTATTGGGAGCATAAGTGGTGATTTATTTGGTGTGGATAGTGAGTTCAACTCGATATTTATTATAGATAAGGGGGAAATAAGACATTTCATGTATGTTCCCAAATGCCCTGCAGATGATTCACTGAAGATTCTGTTTTCCGACCTCCGATAGTCTGACGTAATGAAGTTCACGTGCCTTGCAACGTTGACGCCGATAAAAATACCAGTGACATTAGGTCTGTAGTGATAGTTGAAAGGCAACGGAATTTTGCTACCCGTCGTTCGACGAACTTAGAGAGAGGGTAAGACGTTTTTTGTAGATAAACAGAGTTTATTCTCGGCCTTCTACAGAATGTTGGAAAAGCCATATAGAGCTATACATGGCTAGCATTTCCCCACTGAAAGCGATATACCTCGATTCCTTGTCTTGCAGCCGTCTCGGGAAGCATGTAGGTTTATACGTGTTATTTACTCATTGTTGTAATACTTCAAGCCTATGGACTGTTCGATGGCAGAATGATTCCTAAACCTATCATGTGATGGAATTTTTTAGTCAACCTCGTTTTTTCGGGAGCTGGTCGGCGTGCTTTCAAGAATACAGATGTTCCTGTATGTTATGATATGGTGTGCAACATTGATGGTACAGATCGAGGTACCTATCAAGTATCTTTTGGTTAAATGGGTCGAGTATGTGCCTTACAGTGACTGCGGATAATGTACAAACGGAAAAGGAAGTTACACAAACAGATAATTTACTATTACTATCTACTAACTTTTGTTTGTGTGGGTCGATGGGTTGATTATATTGTTGTGGCAGATCTATATCAATGATTGGCATAGAAACATCCAAAACCACGATACTCCACCCACACCAACATAGACATATCGACTACAATATGTCAAGTCAGTTATTAGGATTTGGAGGAAGGACAGTACTCTCTGCGCTAGTGTCGATGAGGTGGTGAACTCTCGTCATCATATCAGTGATGTACAACAGACGGTCATATTCGCCGGCTACGGTTGCCGTTAAAGCGTGACAGCTTGAATTTTCTGGAGGTTTTTGTGTCAGACAGTTTAGAGATTGAGAAACTGCAGTGTTTTCTTCAAGTTCTAGAAGACTTACCCTGTCTGCTGTGATACCAACATCAATCAGGGTAATCTGCCTCTCGTGATCCAGAGATAGATCTTTTTCGTGAAGAAAAACTTTGAGGAGTTGAGGCGAGTCTATGATTTGGATGAATATTTAGATAACGAGTCAGAGTATGACAGAGGTCTATGAGGTCACTTCGTGTTGTTAGAGGCTTTTCTTTGACAAAATAGCTACCGTAAGTTCCGCTGACCAATCACCTGTCGCACACATTGACACACTTCTGTTGAGGAGCTATAACGTAACTCTGTGTGTACCAGATCACAACAGTTTCACCACTAAAGATGCCATAGGTATTCGGAGTTCGACAATTCCTTTACACGTAACACCTATATAATCGAAGTATACCAACCCAGTCAAGTTATAAGTGAAGTGGTTCGAAGATGTATTCAGAAGGCTATCGATATATCGAGAAGCGTTTTGTCTAAGCTAGCTGGTAGTTGCTAGGGTTGAGTAGCAAAGCTCAACCATTCGTGATCTGGTGCGGATGCGTGACTAAGATCTTTCAAATAGGAGTGTCCAGTATAACTGATGAGGTTGGCATCATTTTCAAGGACTTACGGAACTATTTATTTTGAGCATTTGTTCACCGCTACATGCTAATCTGAATAGAAGTGCATGCTCAATTTGATTCACAAATACATACCTGTTTACCTCAGAGAATCAAGCCAGTTTTTTTGAAAAGCAGAGTATATCTATCTCCCTAAAAGTCTGTTCACCGTCTGTTGTCAATAACTTTGAAGATATAATTCTAATTCCTAATGTATGGGACCCATATTTAGTGATTTGTTTTTGGACAGTCTTTGATGCAACATCCTTGTTTTTTTTCAAGTTGCTTATACAATTGATTCGTGGATTTGAGCTTACTTCTATATCTTTGATACATTGGCAGCAAAAAAACTGAATTTTCATCTCAAAACCTTTTAGGTTTCTCTCGTAAACTGAAGAAATGTTGAAGGTCAAATGCACTGTCTCTCAAGGTAGTTCTGCATTCCGGGAAGATTGAAAACAGGTGTGGATCGAGCTCTTAACTGGGGTGTTAGTATTCAGAGTAGAAGTCTTCGAGAAATTTGATCAGTCCTAGGCAAGTCACTTACCAAGAATTTACTTAATTTACTCTTCGATATTAGCCTGACATCTGAACAGTTTGGGCTCTAGCTTAATGTCAAATAAAGCCAATCGGTCTGTCACTTCTGATATACAAAATAACCAATATTCAAGCTCATCCATTTTTGCTAGTATATTATATGGAATTTCTCAATATAAGCATATATATGTCCAGTCAAGTAGTTCATCAGCATCCTATTGTTCACAATTAAAATATCTATTAAGATGATTTTAGTTTGTGATACAAAATACCTAAGGTTGCTTAAGGCTGTGTTCTAAAGTGGCTAAACTTTCCACTGGACATCACTGTACGAAACGTCTCATCCGAAATCTGTATGATACGTAAAACTCAATGAAATTGAAATACACTTGATCCCGTGATTTCTCTCCAAAGTCACACTTAACGTGTATACTTTCGATGCACCAAATAGAAAAATGCTATGGTGAAGAATTATTTAAGACATTGATGAGTCGTCTTGAGCATACACTATCCTTAGTGTTATTTTTCTCCCCCTCTCCCCTATTTATTGTTTGTCACATGATAATTATTACATAATTTTCTGTATTGTTTAAATATTCTAGATTTTCCTTTGAAGATTGGGAATTTGCTGGATCTCCCCTAAATTTCTCTCCAGTTTATCACACCAAAATACTAACGTATGTCTACTCAAGTGTGGGCTAGTCCGAAAATCGAGCGTCGATGCAAAATTGAGGCTCAAATCAGGTCACTAAACAGCGCTTACAAATGGCTTTCAGTTGATGTGCTGGTGGGAATGTGTGTACTTATAGAATTGTAAGTTGGCTCAGTTGGTATATAGCTCTGACTAGTTATATTCAACCATTTTTCCGTCTGTTCTCGTTCCCTGTGGGATGGATGTCTTCGTATGAAAAGTTGAGTAAGTTATTGTTCATATTTTATTGATCCACAGTATTGTCATCTTTTACTCTTCTTACCGCCTGCATTTCATACCATATATTCGTGATAATAAGTTCAACGTTGGTTCGAAGAATGGATTCAGGTAATTCTCATAGTAAGTCTCGTTTTACTACTAATACTCGAAGACCAGTCAGCTTTAAGATTGCACTCATCACCGCTAAACAAGTCACTCGTTGGTCCTTCTATGTTCTGCTCAAGTTTATTGAAGGACAGCTTAGACATCAGTTCTTGTGGAGCTACCTTTGGGAACTCATCATTTGAAATCACCAGTGGATCTCCTGCTAGATCAGCAGTTCCCTATGCAGATGTCGGTATTACACAGTCCATAAGTGAAAATCAACCTATTTGGAAACAATCAGGGATTAGTACAGTGTCACCGCAGCATAATCAGTCCCATAGCAATTTATCACAGCCACACTGTGGATCTTTTCGGGTTTCTGGAAGTCCGGGAGTTCAAGAAAATCGTAAGTGTTTATTTCTAATAGTGTATTTATTATCTACCATTTGGCTGTTTGTTTCGCTGATGCAAATTATATTTGCATACTAGAGTAGCATTCACCTCTTTCTCTTTCTGACTAAGCTATCGTTAACATAACCTATTGTTACAATGCAATGAAAGAACAGGATTTTTTTGAATTAGAAGCAACGTCATCTTGTTCATTTACAGTTGCACTCTTATCACACTGTGGTTTTCGTATTTTGATTTGCCACACTGATAATGTAAAGTTGCTGGTCTTTAGTACCAAACTACCACTAGTAGCTTATTGTGACTCATTATATATACTTCCATGAGGCCCAAAGAAAGTTAGTTAATTCTTATTTCGATAATTATTATGAATCACTGGGTATTTAAAAAAATAATATGTTTGAAAGATTAATGATGTATAACCTAACTACATCTCTACACGACCTCAGTGGGTTTAGGGAATATAAATGAGTGAGTGTTATGCACATTGTAACAGTGGTAAGGTAGTGACCAAGAAGATTGGGATCAAGGTGACTATCCTCCTTTATTTGCATTCACAATCCGTTATAGTAGTTTGTTCTACTGGTTCGTATCACAAAGTTTTATATACAAGCTAGGAAACAAAATATTTATTCCTTTTTCTATCTCCATTTTTCGCTTCCACTATTATAGTTCCTTTTTTCTGCCATCGTAAACTGCCCAACCAGCTTTCGTTGATTAAATTTTCCATAACCTCACTTGAAGACTCATGCAAATGTATAATAAATACCGATATTAAGGTTTTTCATTATCTATGAGATGATTAAACCTCATGATATTTAAGACGAATTCTTTCCCCAGCACTAATTCAATATTTATACTGTTGTCAAGGGTATCATTTATTTATTTATTTAAACACGTAAACATTGGTACAAGGAGGCACCAAATATATATGAGCCACACATCATTGGATTTTTGTGAGGTATGGGATACTGACCGGGCGCCAAAACCGAAACAAGTTGTTCCTTCAGGGGTCACTCCCTGGGCTTTGGACCCAGAGGTCTAATCCACATGACAGTGGAACAACGTTGGGGTATTCAGTCCCATGGTAGCCAGTGACCAACAATTCACCATTTGTTTCCTTAAGATTCTGGAGCCTATTTGCACCATTGGTTTGGAATCGGCGTTTTCTAACTGCACTAGGTGGTTCCTCTATATCCACCAACCCGGTTAAAGCGCTTGGTATTCTCTCTTCTTGCTCTCAATTTCGAAAACAACAATAATTCCGCGAGAAGACAGTGAATAGGACTTTTCCAGTAATGGTCGTATGCACGAAGCCATGTGAGAGCATCTCGAGAGGGAGAGCTGATTCTGCCCACCCTTGGCCGTACTAGGGCGTTCAGGGGCAATGTGATATTGTAAACACATTATCGTGTAGTTTTACCACTTATTTTATCCAAGTTAATCAATTAAAAGTATTTTTTTGAAAATTTCTTTCGGACATCAGTTTCTCTCCTGGATTTGGCCCTCAGTCCAATTGTGAATTCTGGACTTGGCTCAGTGCTACCACCTTTTGGTAGCGGAGAGGCTCCTGGACAAAGTTCAGGGAGCATACGTCGTTCTGTCACTTGGTCTTCTCCATTTTTAACATCAGGGACATCCCCACGATACCAATATCAGGCTGCTTATATTCAACCTACTAATCCTTGCCAACAATACTTGAATGATTCACAAAAATCTTTATCTGGACCAGCCTTTATCCCAAACAGTATAACTCCTGATTCTGGGAAAAGTGATCGTGAAATCAACGAACGTTTTGAAGATGAGGTAAGCATTTTGTTGAATGAATGCATGAGAAAGTAATATGTTGAGATTATTGTAGGTAAGGTGGAGCTTATCATCTGGAATAATCGGCTTTCACAGAGTAAGTCGCAGGTTCGAACTTTACTCAGCCTTCGACTTAATAGAACAGAGAGCATCATCAGTCTTCCTATATATAGTCTTCCTGTATAACTCAGAGCCAATTACATAAAACCTAAACTTGCTAAATGGGCTATATTATTTGTATTACGTCAATAACAACAATCTTAGAGACATATAATCATTATATTCATCACGAAAAAGTAGCTTAGGATTAATCTATCTGCCGAGAGTCGAGCTGGTAACCTAGTGTTGTAAACACTAAATCATTATCATAAAACAATCATATTACCATTGTAATATACTATACTGATTAACAGAAGGGGTTTTGTGGAGATTTAGTATTTTCATCGATTAAGGGCTCTGGCTCGAGACTAGTAAGTCCTGGGTTCGCATCTCGCTCGCGAGGCGGGATCGTGGATGCGCACTGCTAAGGAGTCCCATAATAGGACGAAACGGCCGTCCACTGCTTCCAGGTTTTCCATGGTTGTCTATCTTCAATTGACTCACACTTTCAAATATACTATACCCCTGTTATTTACTGAAATTATTCTCGGAACTCTAAATTTTTTATGTGGAATATTTCACTACTCTGTTATTTGTTTTCTGTTTACAGTATTGGATTGAAAATCAAGTTAGTAAAAGCGATTTAGATCGTTGGACTCTAAATCTTCGAAAGGTATGTAATCACTTAGATTTTAGTTTTATTTTGTGAATAATAACCTCTAAACATAATTGAATATTCATTCCATATTATGGTTATATGTTTGTGTGTGTTTATAGAGGGATATGCCTTGGTACGGCCAAGTGTGGATAAAGTCAGCTCCCCCTCTCGAAATGCTCTCACATGGCCATGTGCATACGATCATTGCCAGAGAAGTCCTATTTACTGCGGAATTACTGTTGTTTATGAAATTGAGAGGACTAAAAGCGAATATCCGGCCCTTTAACCGGGTTGGTGGATATAGAGGATCTACCTAGGGAAGTTGGAAAACCATCATTCCAAACCAATGGTTCCAGGATCTTAATAAGACAAATGGCGTACGAACCTATTGTTGATCACCGGTCACCATATGACTGAATCTTCTAACGTTCCACTGTCTTGGGGATTAGACCACTGGGCCAAAGGCTCGGGGAGCGACCCCTTGAGAGAATCACCTGTTTCGGTTTTGGCACCCGGTCAGTGTCGAGTGACGAAGTGTGGTGCATATATATTTGGTGCCTCTTTGTACCAATTCTCATGTGTTTAAATAAATAAGAGGCATAACTTAGGTGACATATTTTGTTATTTTAAAAATTAATTATACAGACCATTCTTATATTTAATAAAATCCTTTTTTTTAAAAATTATTTCAGTGGCTTCATGGTACAATCATTCGACGTATTGTCAATGAAATTGACACAATTAATCGGAATCTTGAAGAAGCTGGTGGTGATAAAACTCTTATTGGATGCAAGTTTTTATATCCAGTTTTTCTTTTCTTTAATGTATGCTTTCATGAATGATTGCAAGATTTACTGTCTGCTACCTCTTCAGCTGTGTATTATTATTATTATTATCCTTTAGTCTGCATAATCTCTCTATAATTTTGTTGAGATTAGTTCTGCTTAATGATAACTGGGACTCGAATCTAGTACCTTTCGCTTCAAACGCTATCGCGTTATTCACTCAGCTACTGAGTCCTGATATCCACTTGCTTATGCAATAGGGTGAAATTTAAATTCACTTGGGAAGATTCAAATAAACAATACCAAGTGAATTCGCAAGTCAATGCTTTCTCTTCATATGGAAGTTATAGAAAATATTAAGTTCACTTATATACTATGCATGTAGGGAAACAAGGTGATTAATAAAAAAGCAATTCACTCATTCTTTCAGAAAATGTTTGTTTTTTGGAAGTTTCCCACTAATTATTTATTGAATTCAGATGTCAATAGTCGATAGATGGATAACTGTAATGGGGTTCGAACTTGCTGTGTAAAAGTTCCAAAAGACACTTTTTTTTATACCAAACTTCAATAGTTTCAGCGTCGTATCATCTTACTCATATCTTGTTTTTTTTTTTCGATTCTAGCCACGAGTTTAGCTACACTTCAACAATTCTCCTCTCTTAAATACCAATACTTACCAACACTTCCAGTGTTATTGGCATTTTTAGATTTTATGAAAGATCAAGGATATTTGGTGAATCGATTACACGGTAAGTTTTTCGTGTCCAGTTATTTTAAACTGGCTTTATGATATTTCTATATGAAATCTGATTTAAGTGACTTTGAGTTGTTTTTACCGTCATTGTAGTGTGGGTTAAACCCCAAAATGCCCTGGTATGGCCAAGAGTTGAGAGGGTCCGCTCTCCCTCTCGAAATGCTTTCACATGGCCACGCGTATATAGCCTCTGCCATGGAAGTCCTACTCACTGCATTTTCGTGGCATTACTGTTGTTTACGAAATTGAGAGGATGAAAAGCGAATGTCCGGCACTTTAACCGGGTTGGTGGGCACGGATAGGGGAGTTGGCAAACCCTGATTCTAAACCAATGGTGCAAATGGGCTCCATTATCCTGAGGGAACAAATGCCATATGAACCAATCGTTGGTCACCCGTTACCATGTGATTGCATCTCTTCACGATGCTCCACTGCCTTGTGGATCAGACCTTTGAGTCAATGGCTCCGGGTGTGGCCCCCTAAGAAAACTACCTGCTTTAGTTTGGGCACGTGGGCAGTATCACAACCCTGACACAAATCGAATGAGATTTGTGCGGTGCATATGTATCTGGTGCATCCTTGTACCAATATTTATGTGTTTAAATAAATAATAAATAAATAAATTTGGGTTACTATGTTATGTCCACATAGCTTATTCTAGCTTCTGGACAGGACAGTTTATCCATTCTTCTTCAATCACTTTTTGACCTTGTTACTTACTCACTTATCCACCTTGACTGTTTTCATATGAGCGTATATGTGTGTACACTTCCTATCCTATTCATCACATGTCTGTAACTCATTTTTATTTGGCGAAAAATAATGATTAACGCTTGATTAAATAGAGTTGGCTCACTCACCTCCATTGAGCGTCATCTCGCTTCGCTCTCTTCTTTTCGTTTCATCCCTCCCATTTCCTGCCCAGATTAGTGAATGTACAATAGATGTGTATTCAAATATTCATTCTTGTATTCGACTTATTTAATTCCGTTATTTTATTTTATTTATTTAAACACATAAATATTGGTACAAGGAAGCACCAGATAAATATGCACCACACAAATCGCATTCGTTTTGTGTGAGGGCTGTGATACTGCCCAGGTGCCCAAACTAAAGCAGGTGGTTTTCTTAGCGGGCCACATCTCCAGACTTTGACCTAAAGGTCTAGTCCACCAGGCAGTGGAGCATCGTAAGAAGATGCACTCCCATGGTAGCCGGTGACCGACAATCGGTTCATACGCCATTTGTTCCTTCAGGATACTGTAGCCCATATGCACGGTTGGTTTGTAATCAGGGTTTTCCAACTCTCCTAGATAGACTCTCCGTGTCCACCAACCTGGTTAAAGCACCGGACATTCACTTTTCGTCCTCTCAATTTCGTAAACAACAGTAATGCCACGAAAATGCAGTGAGTAGGACTTCTGTTTCAGAGGCCATATACGCGTGGCCATGTGAGAGCATCTGGAGAGGGAGAGCGCCCTCTTCCCACTCTCAGCCGTACCATGGCATTTGGGGGCTCTCCATTCCCTTATTCATCAATACTATTTAAGTCGATGAAATATACGAGAATAGCATAAATGTATAATTCAACAATCAATCATTCGATATTACTGGAGTCAGATTTCGGACCACTAAATCATTATGCAAATTATTACTTATTAACTAAATTACGTTATGTAGAAACTGAAAGCAACAACACGCAACACAACAAAATCATGGACTATTCTATCCAAATAACCTCAACAATTGTAAAGATGAAGGAAATCCAAAGTTTGTTACAGCTTCGATTCTTGATGATACAATGCCTAATACGTGAATATTTATTAAGTAGTTTTAAGATCCAAGTTTCAGGCCTCCGAATTCATCTTTACGTACACAGTTCAGAAATTTCAAAATGGCTACTAATAAAAGCTTCCTTTTGTTTGATTGTGGTTGAATTTTCCTGTGACTGTTTTCCGTTATTAATGTCACACTACTGTTTGGATTATGAATACAGTGATCTTGAGTGCTGTGTGAGGCATGACGTAGAATCGATCACAATGGCGTAGGTGTAATACACACTCTCTGTCTTCCCTTAAACTGCGAGATTAAAATGACCTTATACCTTTGTTTCTACCAACTAGTTCTTTCTTCTTGTATCATATCCTTATAAACAATCTTTCTTTTCAGAAGGGGTTTTGTGGAGATTTATTATTTTCATAGTTGCAAGCGTGAGTCAATTGAAGCTAGACCACTGCTGAGTAGTGGCGCAATAGAACGAAACGCGTCGGTGAGAGCAGTTTTGCTCTATGCTTGTGAAACCTGGCCTCTCCGAGTTGAGGATGTTAGACGTCTCTCTGTGTTCGATCATCGTTGCCTCCGAAGGATTGCTGACATTCAGTGGCAACACCATGTTAGTAATGCAGAGGTTCGGGATCGTGTGTTCGGGTGCAGAGACGATAATTCAATTGGTGTCACCATCTTGAAACACCGACTTCGGTGGCTTGGACATGTTTTACGAATGTCGTCCCAGAGGCTTCCACGTCGTGCATTATTTGCCGACTCTGGGACTGGTTGGAAAAAGCGGAGAGGAGGTCAGTGTATGACATGGTGTCGTGGCATGAAAGAGAGTTGCAAAGGGCTAGCTTCCGTTGGTCCTTCACGACTACCTGGCTGGGATCCGAGAGATGGTGCAACACAGTGGCTAGAGACGTTATCAGATATGGCTCAGAATAGAAGCCAGTGGCGATCCTGCTGTAACCTTCTTTTACTTTCTACATAAAGAGTGGTTCTAACTTTCTTAACTGAAAGAGTCTTCAGGTTGTGCATTTTAGTCGGCCTTACCTTTTCATCCTTTCTCTTCCTACTTTCATTATTTTGTGTGGCGCATATGTATCTGGTGCCCTTTTGTACCAATATATATGTGTTTAAATAAAATAAAAAATAAATAGAACGAAACGGTCGTCCAGTGCTTGCAGGCTTTCCTTGGTGGTCTAGCTTCAATTGACTCACGCTTGCAACTATGAAAATCTTTCTTTTATATGTTAACATCACTAAATTAACTACTTCTATGAATTTTGATGTTCATGTTGTTATGCTAATATGGTGTGGCAACGTGGACCGATGCATATATGTGCCTGGTCCTATGTTGTAGCTGACTGACTGACTGTTTGGATTAAACTTACATCATGAACAAACAATGAAGAAAACGTTATTTGTCATTTCAATTTAACTAAACTAACTTTTACCTTTGTCACCTAAATATAATATATTCAACGGGTTTACAAACACAGGTAGTATTGTATATTGAGATGGTGGAGAAAATTTGTAACTCAGGTGGGTGATTTTGATGTAGGTTTGTTCCCTGGGCTGGATGGTTTGGTCGTGGAGCTTTCATCGTCCTTCTGAACGACATCATCAGCACAAACTTCATTTAGAAGTGAAGTGTATTATTGGGGTGGGGGGCGATAGAGTTGTGCACTTGCTCACTAATTGTATTTTCAAAAAATTTTCTGGGATCACCAGGTAAGTAATAGCAATATTAAACACAGGGTATTAGGGAATGATGGTAAATCAGTTGATGAGATCATGAATCTTCATCGACTGAGATGGTTAGGCCGTTTTTTTATGTTGGTTTGTTCTCTGAGCTGGATGGTTTGGTCGTGGAGCTTTCATCGTCCTTCTGAACGACATCATTAGCACAAACCCGAAGTTTGTGCTAATGATGTCGTTCAGAAGGACGATGAAAGCTCCACGACCAAACCATCCAGCTCAGAGAACAAACCAACATAAAAATCACCCACCTGAGCTACAAATCTTCTCCACCATGGTTAGGCCGTGTTACGTATGCCTGAACATCGATTACCACGACGCTCTATGATGACTAGTGTAGGGGATGGTTGGAAAGAAGTTAGGGGCAGCCAAACCAAAACGTGGCATCAGTGCTTGAAATCACTAACTTCTAGTCTGAGCCATGTTGGCAGATGCAGACTACCTGGTTGGGGTCCGCGTGACTATCGTAACTAATGGTTGGAGACTAGGTGACATGGCTCAAAATCGATCACAATGACGTAAGTGTACACACTCTTTATCTTCCCTTAAACTTTGAGATTAAAATTGCTTCATATCTGTCTTCCTTCCTATACTATATCCTTATATACAACCTATTTTTTATATACTACCACCACTAAATTACCTACTTCTATAAATCCGGTGTTCATCTTGTTGTGCTAATGAGTGAGGTATGACAACTTGGATCGATGCATATGTGCATGGTCCTACGTTGTAGCTGACTGACTAACTAACTCTGTGATAACAAATATAATGTCTAGTAATGCAATTGTATTTAGTCTATTTTTAATTATGAAGTGTATTATATGAATCTCTATGTCTTTTTATTGCTGTTGACTTGTGTATTTAATATGTCCTCTTCACCTACTACTACCCCCCCTCCTCCCGCTTTCTCTATTCTGATTTATGCTTAATTTTTGTTATTCCCGTTATCATCAACATCATTTACATAGAATTGGCTAGAGAAAGCTGTCTTCAAGAGTTTCGTTGGGATTCTGGATCAAAAAGTACTGAATGGCCATGGAAAGAACATTTACCATCTGATAGCATTGTGAGTTATGATATTTTCGCTGTATTACTTATTACTTTTTTTTGCATTGGTCGTTCAGTATTCAACATAAACGTACATAAATACTTTTGTGTGTCGTAGAACTGTAAAGTGAGTACAAGTTTAAACTATAATTAAGATATTTAATGAAGGTAACTGGGTTGAATTGGTTGTAAACCTTGATAAATTGTTCGTTTGGACATGGAAGGGTTTGAATGTGACCGAATTGGTCTCTTGTTCAGTTACGGGTATGAGGGCTAATATCACTTCCTGGCTGCCCACGCTGTCGAAGGGTATTTCTTGAGGGACCTGAAAAAGAAGTTGGATTAGTGTTGATCTTAACGACCTGAGAGCGTGACCGCATTGCCCAAGGGACAACTGCTTGAGGTCGGTCACATACAACCTTTTTGTGGGTATTTTTTGTGTTAGTTCCGTTCTTCCAACGACCGCCGGAGACGGAAATCCGTGGGATAAGGCGAGCTGTGCATTTTTAGGGTCTACCTTTTCTAACCTCACCCCTCCTTGTTGGAAGGCAGCATCACTGTTATGCGGGTTGTCTGAAGGAAACACTTTACTGCCTCTGTACAGTCAGCAGTACGACTTCGCCTTCGAACCAACTTGTCTGGCATGGTAGGACCTTGAGGAACGATTGTTCCAGCCAGTATAGCTCGATTGATTGATCACGATAGGCAAGCCCGACCACCACGTCAAGGTAGCAGCAACGGTTGGGTCGTTTGGAAATGGCTACTTACTGAGAAATTCAAGTATTGGACAGTATAGAGGGAAGGAAATTAGAACATGTGACATAAAATCATTGTGTCAGTTGTGATGCAGATAATCTGGTTTGTGATTTGTGCAATGATTTTGATCTATTATAGGAGACTTTAGGTTAGTTGCTGTGCTGTTAATTTCATAGCGATAGCACAGATCTTGAATTTTACTATTATTTCATACTTGTTATTGTTAATATTGTAATCTCTAAGGTAGATGGCATAGTTCTTGAGCTTTTGTTATTCTTCAAAGAGAAGTGAGCTGTTAGGACTTCCTCACAATTAGCTAATAGTTTGTTTTGTTGACTTGGAATTTGATTACTTTTTATTATTCATATGATTAATGAAAGCTCCACAACTATAAACGGTCAGGATCAAGGACCACAACATTTCCATTCTAAATATTCTCCCTCATCACGTTACATTCTATCCCTACTATTCATTTGTGTCTTTTGTATTATATTTCTTATATTAACCCCCTCCCACTTATGTGTTTTTTTTTCTCTCTCTCTCTCTCTAGATTCTGTTACATTTATTTGCTACTTATATGGATACACGTATGCCGCCACATCCCAAATGTTTATCTGGTCGTGTATTTAGTCAATTGAATGTTGTTCGACTTCCAGATAAACCTGGTTAGTTGACTCATGCTCATGCATTTTAACGGTTGGATTGTTTTATATTCTGTTCCAGTGCCTAAACTATAATTAATAATAATAATAGTATCAGTAGGAGTATATAGAAAGACATTCAGTACATGAAGGCACCGAAAGTTTTGCCGTACAAAGTGAAGTGGTGTATAGTAGTAAAAAATGACATCGTACAATCAGTGATTCTTTTCAAAAATAAGTTTGTTTGTATTAAATGATACAGTTTAAGTGAGAATAATACCGAAGCAGATTTGCTTTAGTCAATATAAAGTCTCATGCTGTTTGTAAACATAACAGTAGAAAACTAAAACAGTTACGGAATTGCATGATTTTTAAGACATTATTCAAAAGATCTTGATCAACTCATGAAATCTAGTTCTATACAACAATTTGATATAGTTAAGATCATGAGTCAATTGAAGCTAGACCACCAAAAAAAAACCTGGAAGCACTGCTTGACGGCCGTTTCGTTCTATTGTGGAACTTCTCAGTAGGGCGCATCCACGACCTCGCCTCTCAGGATTGTTGTTGTATACTAACTGTCTGATTTTCCTATTCAATCTTATTATCAACAAACAAACCATTAACAAAATACCATAGTATGTTTTTGAAATTACGAAATTTATGACATTTTCAACACCTTCATGCATTAAAAATACATTGCTAGGTTGTATTCGGTAATATCAATGGATGCGAGTGTTACCTCGGTGACAATGATATCCAAACACTAGAGGTTGTTTAACACCCTAAACCTGGAAAGTATATTAATAAAGGCTGCCGACATCTCAAGTGCAACTATCAACAAACTTATACCTTGGTATTTATTGTATACTGTAAGTCAAGACAATGGATTAACGGTTAAATATTGAAATACCACTCAAACAACTAAATTGTAGTTCAAAACCAACTTTTCCAAAAGTGATGTATAACAGTTACTTCATTCTCAGATGACAACTACATATGTAAGAGATTGTAAAGTCTTGATCTAGTTGTTATCAATATAAACATTTATATCTATATTAAATAATCTTATTGATCGCCCCCAAATGCTCTGGTACAGCCGAGAGTGGGGAGAGTAAGCTCTCCCTTTTGAAATGCTCTCACATGGCCACGCGAATATTTAGCCTCTGCCAGGGAAGTCCTACTCACTGCCTTCTCTCGGAGTTAATGTTGTTTACGAAATTGAGAGGATGAAAGGCGAATATCCGGCCCTTTAAACGGGTTAGTGGACACTGCGAGTCAACCTAGGGCAGTTGGAAAACCCTGATTCTAAACCAATAGTGCAAATGGGCTCCAGTATCCTAGAGGAACAAATGGCGTATGAACCTATTGTTGGTCACCGAATACTATGGGACCGTATCTCCTCATAATGCTCCACTGCTTTGTGGATCGGATCTTTAGATCTAAGGTTTCAGGTGTGACCCCTACTTCGAATCGGGCACTCGAGTAGTATCATAACTTTCACAAAAATCAAATGAAACAATAATCTTATAGAATGATTCTTTTTATAAACTAATTTACTTACCTTGTTATGTTTTGTTTGTTTTCTTCTCATTGTATTTATAGATTTAAAAAGCAAACATAATTGTCAATTTTATCAAGTTGCTGTACAACCACCACAATTCAAATTGGTATTAAATGGAAGAATATACAATTTGATTTCTGTAAATTTTCCTCTTTTTTTGTTGTTGTTGATTGATTGACAACTATTTAATCTTAATTTTTCTAGGGTCCCAAAAATATCTACCATGCTATCTTATTATTCTTTCATTATTATGTAACAAGGAATGAAAAATTTAGGTAAGTTGTTGTATATAACATAAATTATATTTTAGATCAGAAGGGGGTTTTGGTGGAGATTTTCAGTATTTTTTTTTTCATAGTTGAAAGCATGAGTTAATTAAAGCTAGATCACCAAAAAAAAAAACACAACCTGAATGGCCGTTTCGTCCTATTTTGGGACACCTCGACAATGCGCATCTACTATCCTGCCTCGCTTACTGCTGAGGAGTTTCACAAGAGGACGAAACGGCCGTCAAGCAATGCTTCCAGTTTTTTCGTGGTGGTCTAATTTCAATTGACTCACGCTTTCAACTATGAAAGTTCTTTAATTGTTAAGCCATTGGTACACAATAAGCTGACACGATTTATAGTACTTCCTTGATGAAATATCCAGGACCTAGATTTCGTGCTTGTTAAGACTTGCAAGCATCTCTTACTTAAATATAAAAGGAATCCATATTCCTCTTTGAATTTGTACATGAATCACTTAGATTCACAGTCTGAATGTGTGATTTTTGTTTCTCTCTCTTTCATAGATCCGTTTCACTTGGTCCATCAGGTTTAAATGTTGCATGGATATTTTCTAAAAATTGATTGTAACTATCACCACCAACAACAACAAAGAAGAGAAAGATATTAACTGTAAAATAATTTTTTGTATTGTGTATATGTATTCTCCTATTCTAATTATTGATGTTTCATGTTTATCCTTTGTATTCAAAATGTAGAGTTCGTGTTGAATCCAAAGAACCTCTTGTTTTGTTTTCTTTTTGTACATCTCAGTCAACCTGTAAACATAGTTGAAAGCGTAAGTCAATTAAAGCTAGACCACCAAGAAAAACCTGGCAGTACTGGACGGCCGTTTCGTCCTATTACGGGACTCCTCAGCAATGCGCATCCATGACCTCTTCTCGTGAGATTCAAACCTAGGACCTACCAGTCTCGCACCAGACTCACGCTTTTAACTACGAAAATACTGAAATCTCCACAAAACCCCTTCTGATAAATTGTAAACAATCCATTAACATACTTTTTCCAAAAAAAATGAATGATCCATATACACTCATCACCATATCTCTTGAATAAGTTGGTTCATTTCACCAAAGATGACGATATTCACCTATTAAATGTATCATTTAAAGGTTGAAATGAATTTAATCTATAGAGCTTCTAGCAATGTTTCCCTAATATGGCCTTATTTCGCGTGTAAATTACCAGTCACCATAAACATATTGATGATCCCACAAGAGTAGTATTTAATCATCGTGAGCTATCAGATAATCCATACGAGATATCTTCAGAGTCGCACAACAAATAAAATATAAGTACACATAGACTATGATAAATGGATTAACCACCTAGCCAATATCGCCACTCATATATCCCTTCACGAACATTCGCATACCTGGCAAGCATCATTATTCACAATTGATTGATCACTGTATGGTGATCAATGTCATGCGTGTCAAGTCCTTCTTAGTGCTGATCGAATGCTATCGATGAAGTTGCAATGTGGCCACCAGTCTAGTTGGCTTGACACTGCGTGCACTATGTTGAGATGAGATAGTGGTTGGAGGTGGCCAACAGGAAACCCTGGATCTGGGTTTCGTGTTACTTGACAATCGTCAGTAAGGTGTACCTGTAATCTTGAGGGGACTGGTGCTCCCTGACGAATTCGATCCTGTTGACCACCATCTTATCTCAAGCATGATTAATGAACAAGGAGGATCGGATGTAGACGTAAAGGCGAGGATTGGGAAAACAAACACAGCGTCCCTACAGTTGAAGAACATATAGAATTCAAAACAACTGTCAACCAATATCAAAGTGAGAATCTTCAATACAAACGTCGAGACAGCCTTACTGTACGGAGGTGAAACGTAGAGAATTACCACAACCATTATCAAGAAGGTACAAGTATTTATAGGCAATCGTTCATACAAGATACTCAATATCCGTTTTCCAGATACCATCGGCAACAGCCTACTGTGGGAAAGGACAAACCACGTTCCAGCTAAAGAGGAAACTAGGAAAAGACGTTCGAAGTGCATAGGACATACATCAAGGAAATCACGAGGTATGCACTAACTTAGAATCTTGAAACGAAACAGATAAGAGGAAAACCAAATAACACACTACGTCGGGAAATGGAAGCAGATATGTAAACGACTGTTCAGGACAAGGTTGGATAGAGAGTTCGGGTGGACGATCTATACTCCACTAACCAATTCCCACCGCTTAAATTTCCCCTCTGTTTAGTTAGATTAATCCCAAGTAACAAATAAGTAAATCATATACCATAGAAAAAAGTATATATATTTCGACCCATAACATTTGATAAAGTAAAAATCCCAATTAAAATGCTTTTTGAAATAAATATTAAAAAAAAGCAACTGAAAAATCAATAATAATAACATGACAATGACCATAGTTAACCTCAATACAATAACAGACATAGGGAGAGAAAGCTGGCGAGAAATAGAAGAAAAGCAAAGGGACCATTGACAACAGAATGTTTGACAAAAGTTTAATCGACAATTAAAATAAGGATGGTTACTAAATGTTTATGTTTACAAATAAATAAAAGAACAATTTGATTATGCATTATAGAGTTTTTCTTTGGGATAATAATTCATTATTGAATAAAAGGATAGCATTCAACAAAATGCGGAAACAGAGTAAAACATAACTCTTGATTATTATACTACTATATTTGTAATTAAGTAGACAAATGAGGAAAAACAAAACATGAGAGAATGAAATAAAATTCAAAACAATAAACTACTACTAATAATCATGGTAATAGTAGTATAAAGCGTCTCATATATTCATTTGAGGAAATGTCGTCTATGTAGATAACCTTAAATATGATATGGGTATATATATGCATATGTGAGTGTGTGTGTGTGTGTATGGATGGATGGATGGATAGTTCACATTCATTCATTTAGTGGACATGATGGTAAATGAACTGTCCCAAAATAATTTAATTCATATAAACTACAAAATACAAGTACAATTATATAACCAATCAATAATGCATAACCATAAGTTTTAGTTAAACGCCAACGATTGATATGGGTTGCCATTAAAAGATAAATCACGGTTGAGAATAAGGTTAATGTTGAATATAGTAAACCTATACGCAAACAATAACAAAAAAAAGAAGAAAAGAGAAGGTTTATGAAAGTTGTTGAATTTAATAGGTTATTACGAACTGAAAACTAACAAGTACTGAAAATCATCACAAGGGTGTTTTTGTGGAGACTCCTCGGCAATGCGCATACACGATCCCGCCTTGTGGGATTCGAATCAAGGTTGTCTAACTTCAATTGACTTATGATCTTAACTATAAAATTAATAAAATCTCTACAAAAACCCCCGTGTGATAATGATCATATGCTTACTAGTGACAGGCTCCATGAGGTAATTCCTGGACTTCTAATGAGAAGTTGTGGCCAGTGGAGCTAATCCATGTCAGGTAAAGACAGTAAAATAGAAGTTAGTCGCGCAATCGATTAAGCGCGCTGGCGCGACACTGGTAGGCCCTGGGTTCGAATCTTGCGAGGCTGGATCGTCCATGCGCACTGCTGAGGAGTCCCGCAATAGGACGAAACGGCCGTCCAGTGCTTCCAGGTTTTCCATGGTGGTCTAACTTCAGTTGACTCATGATCTTAACTATAAAAGTACTGAACAGTTGTTTACTCCTACTATTGGACTTTTGAGGACTAGTTAGCAATACTAATAATAGTCAGGTCATTCCTAGTGACTAAATTCAAGAGCTGATTATTGACAGAGTTCAATTAAATTGGGTTCCAGGTTAATGGGGTAACCTATGTTTGTTTTTTTTAGTTCGATAGATTTCAACTTTAATCGTTGTTGTCGGTTGTGTTTTTACTTTTGATAATGGTCACAACTTATGTGAACTTTGATAAACTAATCTGCAAAATTGGTATCGGGTGAAGATGAAAAGTAGTGGGTAGTTGAAAATCAAGATCAATGACTAACTCCAACTATTTAGAGTACTCTTTAGTTTTCAATGGTTCCTTAGCTATAGTGAAAACTATTTACAGTAGTGTCTAACTTTGCATATATGATCAAATTCTGTATGTGAGATGCTGACCGACGACGGACTTTGGTCATATCGAAGGTGGAAAAATAAATTGTGTTTCTTTACGCGGTTGTTCATCTTAAACATCTATCTAGGCTATACAAATTCGTGAAAATGGACAACACATAAATAGATTGAATCTAAGGCTTCACACGGCTAATTAGAATTTATTTACTCAAGAACATAAACACTTGTATAGAGAGACACCAAATATATATGCGCAACACTTCTTCATTTGATTTGTGTGAGGGCTGTGATACTGACTGAGCGACAAAACCGAAGCAGCTAGTTTTCTTAGGGGGTCACACCCCGAGCCTTCGGTCTACAGGTCTAATCCACAATGTAGTGGAGCAACTTTAGGAGATGCAGTCACATGATCCTCGGTGACCAAAAATAGGTTCATACGCCATTTGTTTTCTCTGGAGCTCATGTGCAACACTGGTTTGGAATGAGGGTTTTCCAACTCCCCTACGTAGACTTTCCGTATCTACCAAGCCAGTTAAAGCAACGGGCATCAGCTTTCCGTCCTCTCAATTTCGTAAACAACAGTAATACCACGAGAAGGCAGTGATTTCCATGGAAGAGGCTATATACGCGTGGTCATGCGAGATCACTTCGATAGGGGCATCGAACGGAGTTCACATACTTTCCTAAAATTAAATTCCACTTCATATAACAATACATTGAATCCTGTTAACATGAATGTTAATTCATGTGAATTAATCCGGAAATCCTCAACCAACTAATGGGATTCACTGTATACATATGAATATTACTTGTTAACAAGAGAATGACTAACCTCTAGAATAGATGATAATCGGTGATTGAGAAATTATTGATTTCATTAACCATGGTAATCCCATACAAATTAATATGTCAAATACATTACTTCCTACAGCATTTGATACAGCCATATCACCTTCACCTATATAAAAAGCAAAGAGACGATAATTGAAAGTAAATTATTTAGGCACTTTAGTGTTCCATTAATGTTGTATTAATCATGAAATATAGTTGGAGATTAGAAAGGTAACTTGTTAACTTAAATAGTCAGTCAGTCAGCTTCAACGTAGGACCAGGCGCATATATGCATCAGTCCAGGTTGCCATACTTCATTAGCACAACAAGATGAACACCGAATTCATAGAAGTAGTTAATTTAGTGGTGGTAGTATATAAAAGATAGGTTGTATATAAGGATATAGTATAGGAAGGAAGAACGTTATGAAGCAATTTTAATCTTAAGGATTTGAGGGAAGATAAAGAGTGTATACACCTACGCCATTGTGATCGATTCTGAGCCATATCACCCAGAGTCTCCAACCATTGGTTACGATAGTCACGCGGACCTTAACCAAGTAGTCTGTATCTACCAACATGGCTCAGACTAGAAGTTAGTGATTTCAAGCACTGATGCCACGTTTTGGTTTGGCTGCCCCTAACTTTCTTCCAACAATCCCATACACTACTCGGCATAGTGCGTCGTGGTAATCGGTGTTCATACATACGTAACACGTGGCCCAACCATCTCAGTCGATGAAGATTCATGACCTCATCAACTGGTTTACCATCATTCATAAAAGTAGTTCATTTAGTGGTGGTAGTATATAAAAGAAAGGTTAACTTGAATAAGAAATCAATGCATATGACTTTGAGCTACAATGACTTGTGTGAAGGGCTAGCGGCATTAAAATATCTAATCGCTTGTTTATTCACAGTCAACGTAGAGCATGGCTCGTCTGCATTAAACCAATCTGCTATGCCACATTAGCATGACAAGATAAATACCAAACAAGTAGGAATAATGTAGTAACAATGATAATGAGAAAGACTAGGAGCCAAGAATATCGTTATGAAAGAAGGAATGAAAAGGTATATATGAAGGAATAGTGGATTTTAAGATTTATGAAAAGGTAGAGAGTGGATGCATTTACGCCATTATGATCAATTTTGAATCATTTTACTCAGGATTCTTGATCGTTGATCGCTATTATCACGTGGACCAGATTATAACCACAGTCTACATCTACCAACATAGTTCAGATCAAAAGTTTATGGTTTCATGGGCTGATGCAACGTTTTAATTTGACCACCCCTAGCCTTGTTTCAACTACACCAGCTAATAATGTCTATTGGTGTAGATGATGATAAGGTATATGTAGCACTTGTCTAAGACAATTTCTTTCTATAATATTCATCCCAAATAGGACGAAATGCGTGTCTTGGATTCCACTGCAGGCCACTATCCATCTTTGCTTATAAAGCTTGTGACTTAAAGCAATATCGAGTCAATCCGCACGGGATGCATATATTTCAACAAGAGACTGATGAATTTCCGTCCTAAACAACAATGGGAAGATACAAGCATACAATACCAAGTGAATTATCTTTTGCTATTCATCTTTGTAATTTGATTTCGTCCCGATGTGGTACAGCAACATGGACTAATGGGCAATAATGGTTTGCTCTATGTTAATTACAACTGGCTAACACCTAACTACACAACTCAGACCAACAAAACAGATTTCGAACTACAAACCAGAATAATTGAATTTTTAAAATTTCGATAATAATGGGACCACGTTGTAAAGTTTTATATCCTATGGTAAATTAAGATCAAGTCATACTCATTTATGCCAACATATTAGTAGAGTACCGGCCTACAAGTCGATCTGTAAAATAACGGTAGGTTTCGAACTGATATAATGCAGATTTAAGACTGATTCGAACTACTTCATTTTAATCCAGTCGAAACAGCTTTACACTTCCATACAAAATGTTTGATTTTAAATAGAGTACGTAATATGTAGTGAGAATATCCATATCAATTCAATGCAGGTTGTATTACGATCTGGACATTATTACATTTTTAGACTCTACTAGAACTAGCTACTCTGAATTACTCGAATAACAGCATTACAAACTAATAAAATATTACAATTCTTAATATCGAGGTTTTTATCAATCTAATAAACAAGATCATCTATAGGGTTAGAAACTGTTTACTAGAATGAGTAATATTTATGTAGCTTAATTTAACTATATTACTTGTTAGTAGTTAGTAATTTGTTGTAGAAGTTTCCTTGCAAACATTTCAGTTGTTACTAGATTGACTTAATTGTAAAATCTTCAGAGTTGAAATCGTGAGTCAATTGAAGCTAGACCATTAGGGAAAAACCGGCTCAGTGGTCTATCGGCTAAGTGCTTTAGCGCGAGACTGGTAGGTTCTGGGTTCGAAACTCGTGAGGCGAGGTCGTTGACGCGCACTGCTGTGGAATCCCACGATAGGACGAAACGGCCGTGATTTTCAATAAATGTCCGTCCAGTGCTTCCAGGTTTTCCCTGGTGGTCTAGCTTCAATTGACTCATGCTTTCAACTATGAATAGATATTTTCTGTCAAATTAAAAACAATATTACTCAGTGTATTCTTTTATCAGTGAACTTTGTGAATGTCCAACTATATGTACATATTGTAACTCTATACATTAGTGTATCATACATCACTAACACTGATTATCGGTCAAAAACACACTGTTGACCATGTATTGTCCGGAACACTATTGCAAGCTCAGATAGACTACTCTAGCTTCTGAATAGACCAATTTATTCATTCTTCACAAGCCACATTTTCATTTATTCGCTTCCTAATCTTGAGTGTTTTTATATGAGCCCATATATATGTGTGTGTTAATTGCTTGACCGATTCATTGCGTATTTGTAACGTATTTTTGGTTTGAATAAAAATATATTGAGTCATTGTTTGATCAAATGGCGTTGACGAATTTACCTTCTCCGCTGCGCATCATTTCGCTTTTACCACTCCGTTTTTTCTGATTGTGTTAGCGGGGCATAGACTGAATTAAGGCACGAATGTGTTGCTGAGCGCTGATTGACTAATTCTTATCTAATCACCTTTAGTCGATGCTTGAAAAATCTTCTCATGTAAAATTTATAAATATACTAACGTATTCCATCTATCCTTGTTATTCGGAATATAATTTCTTCCCTGATCAACCATGGTCTGATTTGGGGACTTGTCGAGTGTTTTGATGTCCAAGAATACTAAGCAATAGGAATAGCTAAGTCGTAATAAGCAGTATATAAAACAGTTATAACAGATTGTCTGTTTAAATCATTGAGTGTACGAAATATACGTATTCAAAACTACATTCTCGTATTTGACTTATTTAATTTCGTTATTCACCAATACGTGTGTATTTTGATAACAATCAGCCTACAATGTAACTGGAATCAGCTAAACAAAATAGGTACATGCATTACGAAGGGAGGGGGCTTTGAAAAATCACACATAGTATCTAAGGGAAAAATTAAAGATTTAAAATTACTAGATCTAGAACTTACCTTCACGAACAACAATTACTGAAGCAATTGCATCTGGTACACTAGAACCAGCTGCAATAAATGTTAATCCCATTACAGTATCTGGTATATGAAGTGTAACACCTATGAAATGAATAAAAAAAACATTATCTAGAACTGACTAACAATGATATATTGTGATCATTAATTAAGCTAATAAAATTATATATATATATATTTCATGTAGCTTACTTAGGCCTGTTACCCGTCGTCAAGGAGCATAGACCGCTCACCGGCATGTAGGTGACTTACAAAATGATTAAGATATTTCTTTGTTCTCTAAACGATTCACAATAGTTTCATTCTTGGAAATGACAAAATCACTATAGATTTAATCCATTTTTTAAAGGTTTTTGTTGTATAAAGGATTATCACAGTTGAAACCATGAGTCAATTGAAGCTAGACCATCAAGGAAAACCTGGAAGCACTGGACTGTCGTTTCGTCCTATTGTGGGACTCCTAAGCAGTGCGCATTAACGACCTCGCTTTGCGATACTAGAACCCAGGAACTACCAGTCTCATGCCATAGCATTTAACCGACAAACCACTGAGCCGACATCCGATGGTGTCTAATTTTGTAGATTGACTGATGCTTTCGACTATGAAAATACTGAAATCTCCACAAAACCCTTTCTGAGTATAAAGGAATAGTAATACCAAATGACTGTTACTACGATGATATGGATGGGTGTAACTAAACATTTATAACAACTTAATCAATTGCTTTAAATTCACAAAGCAATTAATCTATTCATCTGAGAATACAGTAGTTGATTTGTATGAGAGATAGTAATATTATTTATTTAAAAACATAAACATTGGTAAAAGGAGGCACCAAATAGATATGCGCCACACAAATCACTCGATTTTTGTGAGGGATGGGATACTAACCAAAGAAGGTGGTTATCCTAGGGGGCCACACTCGAAGACTTCGACCTAAAGGTCTAATCCACGAGACAGTGGAGTAACGCCAGAAGATCCAGTCTGATGGTAGCCGGTGACGGACAATTGGTTCATACGCCATTTATTCCTTCAGGATACTGGAGCCCATGTGCACTATTCCTTTAGAATCAGGGTTTCCCAAGTCGCCTAGGTGGATCCTACATATCCACCAACCCAGTTAAAGCATTGAGCATTCGTCTCCCGTAACCCCCTCATGTCGCGAGAAGGCAGTGAGTAGGACTTCCCTGGTAGTAGTTGTATGCACGTGGCTATGTGAAAGTATTTCAAGAGGGAGAGCTGACTCTCCTTACTCTCAGCCGTACCAGGGCATTTAGGGGGTGATAGTAACATTACTTCTAAACAATTATGGTTATCAATGGTAGATCAATCAAGTAATAATATTTCCAATCAAAACATATGATAAAAATATCCGCTCATTCAATTCAATGACACATATCATTTATCTAATTGATTGCCATAAGAAAATGTTTAAAATTTATTAAGTATTTAATTCTATATATTAATCAATGAATACTATCCACTTTAACAGATTACAGAAGTTGAAGAATGTTTTACACATGCTCAATCATCACCTTCTACTCAATATCTGATGATGTTTGATTTAGGAGTAGTAGGTCAGAGAAAAGCTATAGAGCTAGGAAAACCAAGATATGACAACAGTTTATGACCGATTGGTCAGTTTATATTTTTATTTATTTAAACATATGCCCCCAAATGCCCTGGTGCGGCCGAGAGTGGGGAGAGTACGTTCTCCCTCTCAAAATGCTCTTACATGGCCAAGCGTATATGACCTCTGCCACACAAGTCCTACTCACTGCCTTCTCGTGACATTGACGTTGTTTACAAAATTGAGAGGACGAAACGCGAATGTCCGGCGCTTTCATCGGGTTGGTGGAAACGGAGGGTCCACCTAGGGGAGTTGGAAAACCCTGATTACAAACCAATCAAGCACATGGGCTCCAGTATCCTGAGGGAACAAACTGCGTATGAATCAATTGTTGGTCACTGGCTACCATGAGACTGCACCTCCTCACGATGCTCCACTACCATGTGGAATAGACCTTTAGGTGAAAGGCTCCGGATGTGGCCCCCAAAGAAAACCACCTGGGCAGTATCACAGCTCTCACACAAATCGAATGAGATTTGTGCGGAGCATATAGATCTGGTGCTTCCTTGTACCAATATTTATATGTTTAAATAAATAAATAATATAAATAACCGAGAGCATGGCATTTAAATAGAAATCTTATATGTATTTACATAACTATATGAAAGGCTCGGGGTGTGGCCCCCTAAAAAGAGCAACTGCCTCGGTTTAATCACCTAGGAAGTATCACAGCCCTCACACAAATGAAATGACGCATTCCACTGATTGGTCAGTTATATAGAGTGGATATGTAGACTTTTTATTTAAGGATTAGTCACAATCATAAACTTTAATATTATATCATACTTGACTTGATTCTTTCTTTAAGAATTTGATTTTTGAGTTACAACTTTAAACAAAGCATATTTACTCATTATCCTTCAGAAATTGATGACTATTAAACACAATATACTACGATTCGCCATCATTCAGTCAGTCGGTTATAACGTAGAATGTGGTATGTATGTACATTGATTCAGGTTCCTATGCCCCATAAGCACAGAGAGATTATATTGTTAGACCAAATCTCAGAATAATAGAAGTAGTAATAATATGAGTGGTACTAGGAAAGATTATTCACTAAATATACAACTCGAGAAAATAAAAAAAACAAAAAAGTTAAGAGGAATTCAGAAGCTTAGAATCTGGGTAAAGACCAAGAATGGATGCAAATGAACGATTTCAAACAATTTTGAGCCATTTCATTCAAAGTATTTATTCACTGGTTGTGACAATTAAACAGGCACTAACCACACAGTCTAAACTTCTTAATACGACTCAGTCCAGTTGTCAATGGCTTCGTAGATTGATGTCATATGTTTTGTTTGCCTTTCCCTAGCTTTTTTTCAACCTACTCCTACACCTAATAACATCGTCCATTGAGGTAGGTCGTGATTTGGCATACATAACACATATCTAAACCACTTCAGTTGAAGGCTTTCTATCTCATCAATCTATTTATTATCCTATTCCCATTCCAGACATTGCTTATTAGTTTTCCATGAAACGAGGGCACAAAGAACAAACTATAATTTAGTAATAATGTTATAATCAGTCAGCCAGTAACAACATAGAACTTCGTACGTATGTACATCAGTTCGAAATGCCATAATACAATAACACAGAGATGCAGTTGTCGATTCAAATCCCATAGTGGTAGAAGTAGTAAGAGTATAAGCAGTATTCTGAAAGATTAGGGTCTGAAGATGTTATTCAAGAAGTATAATCCAGTGATATAAATTTGGAAAGAGAAATAAGATGGAGACATGAAGAATTGAGAAGATTATAATTTGGTAGAACACAAAGAGTGGATGCACCTTCGCCATTGCAAACGATTTTGAGTCATGTCATTCAAGGTCTCTAACCATCGATTGTTATCATCTCGCGAAGCCCAACCAGCTAGTCTACACCAACCGACATGACTCAGTCCACTTGTCACTGACTTCATGAATGCGTGCCATGTGTTGGTCTGGCCACCCCTAGCTTTATTCCAACCTACTCCTACACCATAAAACATTGCACGTCGGGGCAGTCGGTGGTTGGGCATACGTAACACATTTCACAGCCATCTCAACTGATGAAGTTTCACTACTTCATTACTTTTATGTGGATACCATATTAATTTAATATATGAATTCATGAGACAACAAACCAGATTCCAGCGGAGGAAGAAATCAGGAAGAAGCGCTGGAAGTAGATAAGACATACATTGAGGAGATCACCCAACTGCAGCACAAGATAAGCCCTCATATAAAATCCTTAAGGACAAAGGAGAAGAGGAAGACCAAAGAACACATTACGCCGAGAAATAGAGACAGACATGAGAAGAATAAACAAAAACTGGATAGAACTAGAAAAGAAGGCCCAGGACAGAGTGGGTTGGAGAATGCTGGTCGGCGTCCTATGCTCCGTTGTCAGTAACAAGCGGAAGTAAGTAAGTAAATAAGTACCATTGAAACCCTAGAAGCATTAAACATCCAATTCGTCCTAGTATAAGACTTCTCAGCAGTCAATATCCACAACCCCACTCGCGGGATTCGAACCGAAGAGAGTAGTTTATAATAATTTTTAGTAGATCAATATTCATTTTATAATGATTAGATTAAAATAAAACGTAAATAAACTTATACACACACACACACACAAACCATTCTAACTACATACAAAACAAATCGCTTTGTTTTAATTTATAAAAAAAAAGAAAAGAAAATTAGGTCACAATTATGAAATTGAAAGAAAAAACAACAAAAAAAAACAGAACAGAACAGAACAGGAAATCAGATAATAATATAAAGTGATTAATAAAAAAAGTGAGTTAAAATAAATGACAGAAAGAAATAGTAATAATAAAAGGAAGGGGGGGGGTATTATCAATAAGATAAAAAGAGAGAAGGTAATATAATAGAATAAAAGAATTAGCAGTTTTCTCTTAATTTTTTTTTTTTTTAAAAAAAAATTTCATTAACGATAATAGCAGTAGTTATTTATTATCAGTCAGTTATAATTTAGGAAGAAAGATAGATATGAAACAAATTTTCATTTCAAGATTTAAGAGAAGATAAAGAGTGTATATATCTATGTTATAGTGATCAATTCTAAGCTATGTCATACAGAGTCTTTAAACATTGGTAACAACAGTCATGATCGTATATTCTGGGACTATCGGGTAAGTAATGCAGTTGTTAGGAAACGAGTACTAGATAGGGATGGCAAATCGATTGATGAAGTAGTGGAACTTCATCAGTTGAGATGGCTGGGACACGTGTTACATATACCCAACCACCGACTGCCACGACGTGCAATGTTTTATGGTGTAGAAGAGTAGGTTAGAAGAAAGCTAGGGTCAGCCAGACCAAAACGTGGCACAAATCCATGAAGTCACTGACAATTGGACTGAGCCATGTTGATAGGTGTAGATTAGCTGGTTGGGATTCGCTAGATGATAGCAATCAATGGTTAGAGACCTTGAATGAC